CAGGAGCACCTCAGGGTGCTAACGACAGTAGATGTCTTTCTTGGGTATGACATAGCAGTTCCCCTCGCGGGGAGCGTGCACCCTGCTGCTTGAGAACTCCTCAGCGCGCTGCTGCATATCTCAGCTCCTGGAACCCATCCAGTCACAGCCAAGAGAACCAGCAATACGCAGCTCCCTGGGGGCTGTGTGACAGTTCCTGTCCCCTACCACCCACAGACAGCAAGTGCCATTAAAAGACGAAATGAACTAACAAACAAACTTAAAGAGATAAGTAGACTCTTAATTGTGGCAATTCTCCAGGAAAGTGTCACTCATTTAAATAAAATATTTAGTCATGACGTAAGGAAGGGGACTGAGAAAAGACCCACACTAGCTGTGAGAGACGCTGCCACATAATTAACCCTTCTCACTCTCCCCTGCCCACCTCCGTTCCTGCTTGGGGGAAACCCGCTACTGGAACCCGTGGGCTGCAAGGCAGGGGTTGGGGTGGGAGAAGCTTACCTGGTCACTCTTACCTTCTGGCTCTGCGTGCGGGCGCTGGGCAGTTGTGGATATTAATGATAATGATCACGATCATTATCCCACATCTGGGATGGTGGTGCATAGTAACCACCTCCAGAAGAATTCAGCTGGACAGGGTGGGTTAGGCGTGGTGAGGATTTCTACAAGGGGAGCAGCTCCGCTGGAGGGGAAGGAACGCCTTAGGCTCCTGGAGGCAGAGATAGGCCAGACCATTAGCGTCTTTTGGCTCTCGCGTGCAGGACACCTGGCCCACCTGTCCTCTCAGAATGCTGTGGTCACCTTGTTCCAGACCATCACCACTGCCCTCAGTCAAACTCCTAGACACCCGTTCTCTCAAGAGAGCCTCAACTGAGGACTGCTGACATTGAAAGGCAAGACAGCCTCCGCCAAAGCAGTGAAACATGATCGATTTCCCAGACGCTGATGAGGCTTCCCTTAGCCTCTTCTTCTTATTGCTAGTACACTACTGCCAAAACAAAAAAACAGACAAAGCAAATACTCTCCTGTGCACTTCTCACAGATCGTAGCTGCTGCTCTGAATTTAATGGGGCGCTGGACCTCTCGGCCCCTACCTGACCCTGACCACTAGACCACACCCGCCTTATCCCCACCTCTTCCCAAATACTCAGCCAGGGGCATATGTGAAGATCACTCTGGGAAAGACTTGCCTGTCTTGAAGCAGTTTCTGCCAGGGAAGAGAACAGGGACAGGTGGCCAAACACCTGGGCTCCAGCTCCGCAGCTGGTAGTGCCGGAGCCATGCAGTCACCCAGCTGGCACCTGGGCTCTGGTGTGACTGTGTGGGTCTAGTCCCCCATAGCTACTCACCCCTGTTTATCAGAGGCAGAGCATGTGCTTCTGCTTGCCCTTGAGCACCTTGGTTTCCTGGGTTGTGATTCCCGGGGCTTTGGTTGCGAGGAAGTTGAGATAAAGACCATAAAGTGCTTGGCCACACCTGCTGCTCTCTTCAACACGGCCAGAGCCCAAGCTGTGTCTCTTGCCTGCCCTTCGCAGCAGGGGGTGCTCCTGATGGCAGAACAGGGGTGTCTGGGCAGCTCCTTTGCTTACAGACAACAGGACCCAGTTAGAGAAAGGACTTGGCCAAGGTCCCAGAGAGACCAAGACCCTGGCAGCCTGGATCCCATCCCAGGTTCTCGCCCGCAGCAAGAGTAAATGCCAGAGTGTGTGTCTGTACAACCCTTGACAAAGCCAATCAGAAAAGCCCTGACCCGATCTGAGCTTGACCTTGACCCTCACTCTCACTCCAGTCCCTAAATCTACCTTGACCCCGACCCTGACTTCAACCCTAATCCCTAACTCTATCCCTCACACTGACTTTAACTCAGACCCTCACCATATTCTTTCCCTGGCACCCGTAACAGGGCAGCCCCTGTCTGCTGTTGGGCCCCAGTGGTCAACCATCCCTCAGTGACAGCTGAGGTCCTGGGGCCCTCCTTGGGGCCCTACTCAGTCAGCATCTGCTTCACTCACATAGTGACACACTCTCCGGCAGCCCCTGGTCACCCCTCTGGCCTCGGCATCACTCTAGCCTTCTCTGGCACTGCAGCAGGCAAGGGGCACCCACGGGGAGCACCCTGACCATGCATGAGCTCTAGCATCCTCAGGGATTGTGCGAATAAACAGAGCCTTGTTCAGCACTCAGGTCCCTCCGAAGCCTGCCAGCTCCCACTGTGGGGTAGCCGTTCCAGACCGTACTCCAGGCAGGGAACACGGGCTGCCATGCAGGAGGCCCTTCAGGAGGCTCACTCATAGAGGAGTTGGCGGTCCCTCCAGGGGACTTCATGGGGCCACACGGTGCCCTGGTCCCTTTCAGGACACCCTCTCCATCAACCACCATATCTGGGTCACCGGCGGTGGCCTGGCCACCGTGTGGCATTCCTGCAGCTGGAGCTCCACACTAAGCAGCAGGGCAGTGCCTGGAGGTGTCCTGCCAGACTGGCATCATCACTGCCAGGTATGGGCATGCGGCTTCAGGAGGGCCAGGCCTGAGCCTCTGGTGTCCAGTATGACTATGGAGCGAGGCACAGAGGGTGTCCGTCTTTTCTTCCCCTTCTCCTGAGACTTCAGCTTCAATTTGCTGTCTACTCCCGGCCTGTGTTTGGCCAGGGCTCCATTTCCCTGGGGCCCATCCATCCTGGACACACTAGGGGGCTGTTTGCACAGATGCTTCCCCAGCCAGTCTGAGATGCTGACCCGCTCTGGGGGTCAGACCCTTCAGAGTCCAGTCCCTCCCGTGTCAACCTGTGTTCTGTCCTCGTCCCCGATTGCTGTGGAGCACAGACGCTGGGCGAGGCGGCATGCACTGCGCCTGGGGGATGGATGAGAAGCAGACACCCACTGTTCATCTACTAGTAATGAGAGGGTCCCGGTCTAGAAAGGGGCTATGAAGAGAGGAGGCATCTTCCTAGGGTAACAGGGGCCTCATATGAGCTAGACCTGAAGGATGGCTCAGCCTGGGACCTAGTGGGACTGGAGGAGGGCATTTCTGCGGGAAGAGCAATGAGTGAGATGGGCAGCAGCCAGAGGGCAGGGCAGGACGAGGCAGCAGGTATGGTCAGCTGGCAGATGTGAAATGCCATTTGGGATTGATTAGGAAGAATCTTACCATTTCCTCAAGATCATGGCTGAAGAGAGAATCCTCATCCTGGGGAAGGAGGTGGGAACTGGATTGGCGAGGGCCCCGAGCTGGGCCCTGACAGGCTGCTCTGAATATCGGTGGGATCACTGAGGCGCTGGGGTCCCTGCTGGCCAATCCTGCCATGCAGAGACTGGGCACCAGCGTGCTCTCTGGGCAGCCAGGGGCTCCTGCGGCAGCTGGGAGCGTGGACTGGGCAGGTCTTCGTACACAAAGCACTCACTGCAGCAGTCAGGCTCATTTTGCTCTGTGGATTTTGCTGTAAGGGTCTGATACAGCCCTGGCTGCCCTTGGACTCTTCCAGGACTCTTTTAAAACACTGCAGCCCCTAAGGCTCTGTCCAGAGGCTCTTATTTATTTACTTATTATTTGTTTCTTTCTTTTTTTTTTTTTTTTTTGAGGGAGAGTCTCATTTTGCCACCCAGGACTGAGTGCAGTGGTGCGATCCTAGCACTGCGTCCTTGACCTTCCAGGCTCTGACCGTCCCACCTGCACCTCCTGAGTAGCTGTGACTACAGGCACACACCACCACACCCAGCTAATCACTTGCTTTTATTTTACTTTATTTTATTTTTGTACAGACAGGGTCTCACTATGTTGCCCAGGCTGGTCTTGAATGCTCAGGTTGCAGAAATCTTCCTGCCTCAGCCTCCCAAAGTGAGCCACTGTGCACAGCCAGAGGCTCCAGTTTCACCGGCTGGGTGAGGCCCAGTGAGAGGGTGGACAGAGGGTCTTGTGGAATCTGAACTGCAGCGATGGTTCGCAAATCCCCAAGGAGGCAGAAGTGTGAGGGGGTCCCGGCAGCATTGCCTGAACTCGGGGCCCTCTGCCCTGAGGCTACTGCTGGGGATTCAGGTGGGACTGGGCTTTCCAGAGCCTTCCTCAGCCCACCCCTCATAGGCTGAAGTCAGGACTTCATTTGGGAGAGCCACGCCCAGAACCAGGAGCCTGACTTGCTCAGCAAGAGTGGGACCAGGAGCGATCCATCTCAGCAGGAGTGGGCCCAGGAGCGATCCACCTCTTCTCCAGGGCTGCACCCTGCACAAACCCACCCTCCCCCTACGCTTTGCCTTGGACCCTTTCAGAACACATCACACTGCCTGTCATCATGCATCTCCCGTTAGGGCAGAGGGAGACCCTGCAGGTCACCCGGCCCAAGCCCCTCAGTATGGGGAAAAGAAACTGAGGCCCAGCAGAAATGAAGCTGCCCCAAGACTCAGCTCCTGCCTCTCTTGGTCCCACGCTAGAACCACTGTTTAAATAAAGTCCTCCCTTCCCAAAGCTACCCCTGCTCCCCAACGCCAGCAGGGTCTCACATCCAAGGGGCTTACTGGTTGGGGCCCAGGCAGTCGTCATGTGCCCCTGTTGTCCCCCGTCAGGCAGGCTCACAGACGCCACAGGCGTGTGACTCATAGGCCACTTGGAGCCTGCTGGCAGTAAGGCTTCATTCCCGCCCCCACCCCAGCTTGCTCCAGCGCCATTGATGTCATGGGTACGTGGTCCACAGTTGACGGACCTGCAGGCCCACCCTGTTGACTGCATACCCAGCGAGGCTTAGGGCCTGCCAGAGGTCACCCAGCAGGCTGAGGTGGAGTAGGAGCTTTTGGCCCAGGACAGAGCTGGGAAGGAGGCAGGTCCCCCAGGAGACCACCTGAAGGAAAAGGGCCAGATAAACAGTGGTAGGTAGGAGGCTCTGCAGCTCACAGCCTTCCGACCAGGAGTGGAGAAACAGGTAAGAGACCAACAGTGACCTGAGAATTTCAGTACAGCCCAACAGGCTAAAGTCAGCCTTCTGAAAGGACGCTGGAATTCAGCAAGGTGGGTGGAAGGTCCTTTACAGCCTACTCACTCCCATTGTACAGATGGCAGCACTAAGGCTCCGTAACTTGGGAGAAAGGCTCAGGCTAAGAGAAGCCAGGAGCTCCTCACGCCCAGCCTGTGAGCTGCTGCAGATTAAGGGGTCATTGGAGATTGGCGAGTGGCCAAGAGAAATCCACCAGGTCCAGGGCCACGTCCATCACCCCTCACTCTCATGCCAGGCAGGGCAGCAGCATCTTCCTGTGCAAAACAAATGCTCGTCTCCTCCAAGAGCTGCCTCCAAGGGCCTGTCCTGCCCTTTGCCTTGGGTGATGAGGGACAGGCCGGCAGTGCCCTGCTCAGCTCTGCAGTCTGTCCAGGAGAGGCCAAGCTACCAGAACTCCCTGGAGTGCCAGTGGCCGGGTGAGCGGCACAGCCTCATGTCTTCTTTCTGGATGTGCTCGTAACAGGACTGGCAGGAGAGAGGCAAGGCTGGGCCAGCTGGCCTGCCTCATCCCAACCACAGGCACAGGATCTAGGGCCTGACAGCTGTGTGCACCCACCTCCCAACCCAGAGGAGGCGCGTCTCCAACTCAGCCCTCAGCCACAGTCTGCAAGCAAAATGGGGCCCTCCCTCTCCCACTGTGTTTGGGGATGCAGCCTGTAGCAGTCACGCCCCCAGGGTCCCCAGGGCTGGGATGTTCCGTGGGACCCTTTCCTGGCTCCTTTAACAAGAGCAGGATCAGGGACGCTTTGACGACCCATTCCCACAGAGTCACACAGGCGCTGTGAATTTGACCTCACCTCCAGGGCCGTGAGCAGGAAGTCATACAGGCCTCCTGTGTGGATGGGGTCCATCATGTCACGGATCAGGTGGATCTCAGCTCCCAGGTGCTGAATTCTGAAGAACACCGTGCCGCCAAGAGTGAGGGAGACAGAGAGAAGAGGGCTGTCATGGACAGGCAGCTGGGGAAGGATCCCTGGCCTGGATGGCTAGACACCTGGGGTGTGGCCCTCACTCTGCCTCTAGCACCCCAGTACCCTAGCTGGGACCCTCCCTTTTCTGAGCCTTGGCTTCCGCATCTGCACTGAGAAAAGCTGCATTCATAAATGCTGGGATTCAGAAGTGTCAGGAGATATCGTGGCGGGGTCCGGCTGGGCCCCTGCCCCTGCCCTGCCCTGCATCCCCAGCTCCCGCCTGTCCACCTCACCGGGCGCGCGACACCACATAGATGAGCAGCGGCAGCAGGTCGTCCATGGGCAGCTTGTACTCCCGGCCCAGCACCCGCGACACGGTGCCCTCAATCTCCCCGTACGTCCGCTCCAGCACCTCCAGCTTCTCCCGTGGATCCACTGTGGTCCTGCAGAGGGTAGCTGGCTCCAGGGCAAGGCCCTTGGTTCTGTCCCAACCAGGAGTCCCCCACACTCTGCCTCCGGACCCCCACCCCACTACGGCACACACTCACATGATCTTCTGCAGGCACTCGGTGGCTGACAGGAAGCACTTGTCCCTGACCAGGGAGTACCTCTGCATGGTGGAGGGAGTGGGCTGGATGAGGCCATGGCCCCCCAGCTCTGACATCCCCTCCTTCCCAGGGCGGGGCCTCAGTCCCTTGCCACCCTCCCCATTTCCACTGCCGGCTTCAGTGCAGCCCCACCCTGCGGGCTGGGTGAGCCAGGGCAAACACAGCTCCACTGTGGGCCTCGGTTTGTGCAACCATAAAGCGGGGTGAATGGTCTCCAGGAGGTTGGGAGGTTCTGGATGATAAGAAGCTAATAATCATAACAGATACTGGCCACCAGGTGCCGCCCAGTTCTGAGTGCCTACATCAATGGCTCTGCAACCCAGGGGCTTGTTGAAACACAGGTTCCTGGGCCACTCCCTGGGTTTCTGACTCGGTAGGTCTGGGGTGGGTCCAAGAATCTGCCTTTCCAACAGGTTCCCAGATGATGCTGATGCCAGTCTGGCAGGCACATTTTGAGAACAGCTGCCTCGTGCCCACTTCACCCTCACAACAACTTTGAGGGCCAAGCACAGTGGCTCATGCCTGTAATCCCAGCACTTTGGGAGGCCAAAGTGGGCGGATCATCTGAAATCAGGAGTTCGAGACCAGCCTGGCCAACATGGAGAAACCCCATCTCTACCAAAAATACAAAAATTAGCCGAGCATGGTGGCAGGCACCTGTATTCCCAGCTACTCAGGAGGTTGAGGCAGGAGAATCGCTTGAACCCAGGAAGCGGAGGTTGCAGTGAGCCCAGATCGTGTCACTGCACTCTAACCTGGGCAACAAAGTGAGACTTTGTCTCTAAAAATAAATAAATAAATAAAATCAGAATGTTGAGGCGGTTCTAGCGTTGGCTCCCTTTAACTGATGAGGAGCTGGGGCGTCGTGCTCGAGCCTCTTGCACACGGTCACATGGCCAGATAAGAGCCTGGTGCTTAGAGGCCAACAGGTTACCTCCACCACTCCGGGAAGTCAGAATGACGGTGTCTCCTCCCAACCCACCCTGCCCCTCCCCAGCTCCCCTGCAGCCTCCACCCAGCAACCGTGAGGCAAAGTGCTCCTCAAAGCTAGCAGGACCTCTGGGGGCCCTGGTTCGGGGCTCAGGCCTCCCTCTCACCTGATTGCTTGTCAGCCTCAGGTCCTTGAGTGGCCACAAGTGCCTGAAATCGAAAAAGTGAGACAGGAGGCTTTGCCTGGACAAGGGGCAGGGTCTGAGGTCAGAGGGCAAATTCCCTGTGCCACTGTGTCCCCCGGCAGAGCTGGGTCCTGGAGAGGGGAAGGAGATCGGCCCAGGGCACAGGGAGGATGGAGGATTCCTGGAGAAGGCAGCGCTCCGGAAGCTCCAGGGAGGCGAGGGCTTGTACGAGCCGGGTCATGGTGGCTGCCAGAGAGGGAGGGCTGAGAGACGGCAGTCCGTCCTGGAGGCTCTGGTGAGCCGGCACAGGGCCGTGAGCAGGGGGTGCAGCCCTCACGCAGCAGAGCTGGGGGCTGTGGCGGGGATGCAGCACTGAGGCAGCGGGGGAGGCAGGGCACACTTGGGAAGCATTGGCAGCCAAGTCTCCAGGCCAGTGGCTGGTCACATGCAGGACACATTCACCAAGATAGAGGAAGAAACAGGGATTTGCAGGGTGAGTGGGAAGCACCATCCCTGGGCAGCAAGGGAGGCCAGGATGTGGGAGCAGAGAGGTTGCCCATGCCCTCAGCTGGGGACAGTGGGGACACTTGTGGCATCAATGGATAGATGGGACGCTGAGGAGACAGGACATTTTGGAGACTGAGGGTGGAAGGGGGGCTCTGGGGTGTGGTCAACACCTCCTGACTTGTACCCAGAACAGTCTTTGGTTTCCCCGAGGGACCTCCTCTCCTCTCCTCTCAGCCCAAGTGCCCAGAGAGGTGGGCACTTGCCCCAGCCTCAGTAGTGGATATTCAGGCAGGCCCGGTCAATCACGGCTGGCATTCAGGGATGGGCTCAAGACCCAAGCAGAGCCAGTAAGGGACTTCAGGGACTCTGTGGGAGCTGTGGGAAGGCAAGGCCAGCTCCTGTGGGGACGCCAAGAGTGGAGCTGATAGGGTATGAACCTGGGGCGGTTGGTGCTTATGGTGTTTGTCACCACAAGGGGGAAACTGAGAAGGACCAACAGAGAGAAATAGAAGGTGCTTCCCTCTGTCATTCCGTTGAGCACCTAGATCCAGCCACACCTGAATGCATAAGCTTAGAACTTGGTGGGTGCACGAGCCAATCAACCCCAGCCCCACCTTTTGGCTGAAAACAGTCTGAGTTGAGTTTGTGTCATCTGCTACACTAGAGTCCTAGCTAACACGGCACCAGGGAAGGGAAGGCTTACTTCTGCACATCCAGGAACTCAAGCAGTTGGGTGTCAGGGAAGAGGCTCAGGTTGGCGATGCCCTGGCTGTAGAAGCTGTCCTCCCGCTCATGAAGCAGCAGGTAGAGTGTGAAGAGCTCTGAATAGAAGCTGGGCAGCATGAGGGGCAGCACCAATCCATGCACCTGGAGGTCCCTGAGGGGGAGACCGGAACAGGTTGGGATGAGCAAGGTGGGGTCTGGGATCACTACTTGGCGTCACCTCTCAAAGAGTTCCCAGTCCCACAACACTGTCCCGGCCTCCAGCCTCCTCCTCCGCAGAAAACCTTTTCCAAGCCTGTTCCCAGACATTATTTTCCCAATTCAATTCATAACCTCATTCCCTCCTTTGACTTGGACAACCAAGATGGCAGGAGGGGTGGGAGTGTGATCCCCATTTGACTGAAAACAAAACCAGGGCCCCAGGTGGACCAGTAGCTTGCATGCAAGCCCTCAGCAGCCGTTCCAGGCTCATTCAGTTCCACCTCCTGGTTTGCTATGCTTCCTAGGACTCCAGGGGAAGTTCTCCCTAACGTCTAACCCCATTTTCCTTGCCTCCTGCAATGCAGTGACCGAAAGGTCTTTTTGATCAGGAACATCTCCAGGTCTGGAATCCAAGGATAGATTGTAAGGTATGCTCCAGGGACTGGGGGAGACAGATTTAATGACCCACCTGACTCCTGTCTGACCTCAGGCTCATCCCTGCCAGCCCTCGGTTTCCCTATCTGTGTGCAGGGAAAGGAGGGTGCCTCGGGGAGCTACCCACCCTCTGCATGGGAAAGATGAGATTGGGATCATACATCTAGAACAAAGATGCATTCAGTGGCCCCTCCCTGGTTCCTCACAGAACAAAGGTCATGGGTCATTCTAATCCACAAATGATGTGCAATGCTTGGTCAATAGCATGAATGCCCAGCACTTCCCCAGAAGCACCTCCTTTCCCGAGGGAGGGCTCAGGGCCAGGTGCATGACGCCTCCCTGGACACGGCAGACCCCAGGGAGGCCTGGGCCGGTCACCTTGTCTCTGCGTCTTCATCCTCCTCCAGGGTCTGGCCCTTGCGCTGTAAGGCAACTCGCAGGAGACCCCTGTGAGCCAATGAGAGAGAAATGGTGTGGCTGCCACCTCCCGCAGAACAGGAGCTCTAGAGCCGGTCAGCAAAGACAAGAGCAGGCAGCCTCTCAGAACCGTGGGCATGGCCTGCTGGCTTCCTCCTCTCAAACCACAGCAGTTAGAAGGCTGGAGCTCCAGGATGTCAGCCTGAGAATCTTGGAGCCCCCGCAGCAGCACTACAGCATCTAAGGCTTCTATGTGCAATGTTTGATGGGGTCACAGCTCAGCTTGGGACTGCAGATGTGTTCCGCGTCCAGGGTCAAGCTCAGCCTACAGTGGGGTAAGAGTGCCCCTGGGTCAGAGTCAGCCCAGTGCCTGGCTGGGACGTGGGCTCTAGCTGAGGGCTGCAGCTGGCCCTTGCTCTCACCTCCCCACCCTGCAACCCCTCTGTTCAGCAGCTGCGCACTGACCAAGCCTCTGGTTCGTTGTTGAATCAGACCTGGGGTAGAGACACTGACATTCCTTCCAGGTGCAAGGCAGAACGGATGCCTGGAAAGGGCAACGCCACTCCCCTGGTGTCACAGAGCAGTGGCTGTCCCAGGTGCCACCAAGCTCACCTGTAGGCGGCCCAGAGTTCCTGTGCGTGCTGCTTCACCTCCTCCTGGGCCAGCTCCTGCAGGTGCTTGTTGGCCCCGACACCTGCGTAGGTGGCCTGGAAGGTCAGCATCAGTGTCCGGAGCAGCTTTCCCAGAGGGTGCAGTGAGTTGCTCAGAGCCTGGGCCAGTGCATAGGGAACCGAGAGAGACTCAGCCCTGGGATTTGGAGCACAGCACGCCCACACCACCGCCCAGCACTTCTCCCATCCCATATACAGGAACAGAGGCCCTCTGAGGACAAGGGGCCCACAGACCTGTCCCCTTACAGTCAGCACCCTGCTATGAAAACTAGGAGCCATTCCCCACCACTGGCAGTGAGAATGTCACCCCCTTGGCCACCCCGGCAGGGCTCTCACCTTCCTGAGGTACGGCTGCAGGGCCTTGGACTCCCGGTGCTGCAGCAGCTCCTCCAGGATGTCTTCCATACTGCCTGCACTGTCCTCGGGGTGGGCCCTGGGCACCACAAAGAGCGTCCCTCACCCACGCCTGGGCGCGGGCCCCTCCTCCCAGGAAGCCTTCCTCCCTGGCCCACCCTGACCTGTGCGTGTGCGCACAGCCGGGCCTCACCTCTCGCAGCAAAGGTAATCCTGAGACTTGCGCAGCTTCCTGGAGCTCTGCACGTGGAAGCCCAGCAGGGCCTCCTGCAGGTCGCCAGGGCAGCCAGCACACACAAAGTCCCGGAAGGGGTTGTAGACTCCCTGCCAGCGGCTTTCCACGGGGAAGGCACCCACGCCCAGCTGCCTGTGATGGGGGTGGAGGGTGGGTGACGGGGCAGGGAGAGATGGAGCTGCGGCAGGCAGGACTCTGCCCAGGCCCTTGGGGGTACCAGCCTGGCCCAGGATCAAGCCCCAAGAAGGGTGGATGGATCGAACCATGCAGAGGTGGCTGACCTCCACAGCTCCAGGAGAAAGAGCAGCACAGAAAGGGACAGACAGAATCTACCCTGCGGTGAGAAGAGAGACAGAAGCACACGGAATCCTGGAAAGATGGAGACAGAAAGGTGTGCAGATCTGGAGGCCAACCCAGAGAGTGGGTCGTGGCCCAAGAGAGACCAGTGCCCAACGTCTGGGATTCCCCTCCAGAACATCCTGCTCTGCCCTCCCCGACGGCCAGTTCCTTCCTACGGTTGATTCCACCTTGGCCAACAGGCCGGGGCCTGGCTACGCGTGTCTAACGGAGCCCTGCACTCCAGTCTCCTGCTCGTAGGCTACCCCATACCTGCAGCTTACATCCACACCCAGGCTGGAGCCTGCCCCTGGGGACTGCTGTCCATTCCCTGTCCACTCCTGCTGTCAGGGAGAAGCAGCATGCTGGGACGGTGGGCCAAGTAGTCAACTGTACTCCCTCCCTACATCTGAAATGCTGCCGGGGACCACTTCCCATTAGAACTGCCACCGACACAGATTCCTTCCTCTGAGCAATACTAAGTCTTCTTCAACAGAGGCAGCAAGAGCAACAGTTTTGCAAGGAGAAACGCTGTCCCCACGGGAAAAGAAGTTTATCCCCCTCTCAAATAATCCTTGATAATGACTCTGATTCAACTTAGCAAGTTTCCTTCTTTACCTTGGCTGCCAGGAAACTCAGCCAGGCTAAATGATCAGTCGTAAATGCTGTAGGGCCCATCTGCCTATCCCTTCCTTTTAAGGTTAACACATCCTCTTATTTTTTATTTTTTTTCCTGTGCATTTAGTTTGTAAAATGTATCGTATATTTTTGAGACAAAAAAAAAATGCAAGATCTAAGCAAAGCTTACAAATAGTATTTTTCTCCAGTTTTGTAGTGGCCAGCATCATATCCACGTAGCCCCTGATTGCAAGAGTCTCTGACTGGAGTTGTGCACCCTGTGTTCTCTGAACTCTCTAGAGTGCCAATGAGAGATGCGAAAAATCCCCTCTGAGGAGACCTGAGTCCTTGCAGGGGAAACACAGACACATTCTCAGATAGGCCCAGAGCCAGGGGGCCAGGCACTCACCTCTTGCAGGTGCTGCTCGGGTCTGGTGGGAGGGCGGCCGTGTCCAGCACGCCCTGTGTGTACAGTCCTCTTCCTGTACCGCTGCCAAACGAGCCCTCCAGGGTGAAACCATTGGGGAAGGTGACCTTGCCCTGGGAGCCAGCAGAGGAAGCAGGGATGTCTGTCTGCCCCGATACCCTTCCAGCCAATTGTGACAGGTCGCATGCCTGTCTGTCACTGTCACAGAGGCTAAGGACTGACGAGTGGGCTTCCTGCCATCCATTCAAGCTACCCCACCCTGAGGGGCTCATAACCCCCTACCAACAGCTGTGCCGTGTCCCAGGGGCTCGCTGGCCTCTGAGCTGGGAAGAGGAGGGAGATGGAGAAGGAACACAAGCAAGAGTGGGGAGATCACCACTGAGGGGCTGGGGGTGGGGTAAGCTCAGGGACAGGCAAAGCGGGGCCTTGCTGCCTGGGGCTGTCCCATTCATAGCAACCCAGTCTCCAGCCCTTCACTCCAGTCATTACAAAACCGAAACAGCGCCTACGTTTCTAAAGGCCGCGGACACATTGCCTTTTGCTGAGTCCTCTCAGGGAGGCACGGGCTGAAGGCCAGCGCCTCCAGAGACAGCTGCTCAAGGCACTGGTGCTGTGGAGGACATGTATTCTGAACTAGAAGGGTATGGGGGACACAGCCAGGAGATCACTCGCACCCTCTAGACAGCAGGCAAGACCACCAGTGCCCCCCGCTCCACTTCACTCCAGCATCAATCCTAACCCTGTGACAGGGAGAGTCGTGCGCACCCCTTGGCTGCACTGGAGGTGGGACAGGCCCTCCCTACCTGCTCCCTGCATCTGTCTGTGTCCCCAGCCCTGAGTCCAAGCAGGGAGATTACAGACCCCAGCCAAGGCCTCAGCGGGGTACAGAGCCAAGGCCTCGGTGGGGCCTCGGAAGTCCTCACCTTCCCCACGAGGGTCAGGTCCCTGCTGAAGGTGCCCTCATACAGGGAGTCGTCTTCAGAGAGGAGGATGCCTGCGCCCTTGGGGAGAAGACAGGGAGGGTAGAAGTGGTGGGTTAGGAAGGGCCCAGAAACTCGGGGTGGGGAGAGATGGCAAATAAAAAAAGGAGGTGTGCCCTGACACCTGGGGAGAGGGGCTCTAGGCTTCATCACTCCCCACAGGACTGTGCCTAAGTGCCACTCTAACCTTTGGCCTGCTGAGCACCAGCCCCGAGGACCCCATCACTGGGTTTCCCAAATGATACCCTCTGTCCTGCTCCTCACCTCAGCAGCATCTCCAGGAAGCGCTTAAGAGCTCAAGAAATGTGTGGCTTTCTCTGAACCAGCCCTGCTTCCCTGCTTGTCACTGGCCCTGGGGACCGCAGAGTTAACCAGACTCCCTTGCCCCATGGGCTGCTAGGAAGCTCAGAGCCAAAAGGGATACTATTAATGTTCAGCTTAGTTCCGATTCTATTTTGTGTACTTATTCTTGCCTTTTCTTCCTCTTTCCTCGAAGGCCTCCTTCAATCCTTTCCAGGATGAGGCAGAACATAAACAAACCGACAAACCATAATAGCAAGAACAGCCATCAGGCCAGAGCCCCACACTCCCCAAGCACCTGGCAGGGTACGAGTGAGGCAAACGTGGGAGTCCCAGACTCAGGCAAACCAGGGTATGAGTGTCAGCTCTGCCACTCAGTGAAGGTGACACAGAGCAGGTCCTCTGATCCCTCTGAGCCTCTCGTTTGTCATTCACTAGGGACACACTGGGGATAACAGTGTCATCAACCTGCAGGGCTCTTGGGAGGATCCCACAAGATCAGGGTGGGAGCTTAGCCCAACGCCGGGTCTCCAGTTAGGGCTCTACAAATGTCAGCTAACGCATCATCATGAGTACACGCCCTGTTCTCACTAGTTCACTGAGTCTGCGGTATTCTTAACCTGAGTTGCTGATGGGGAAACCAAGGTCGGGCAGAGCAGGGACTGGCCAGGGCCAGGGGTGGTGGGTGGTAGAGCTGGGTCCTTCCCACCCAGTTACACAGCCCCCTTTCCCATCCCTCCCTGAAAGGCCTTAACTCAGCCTCAGGGCCCCCAGCGGGAGTAGGGTGCAAGGAGAGGGTAGCCCAGGACACACTCCACTCACCACGGTCTTGTCCGCCTGGAAGGTGCCCTGGTAGCAGACACCTGCCTGGGTGACCATGACCCCCGGACCGTGGCGCTGACCAGCCTGCCACATGCCAATGTAGCGCTCACCCCTGGAGGGAGAGGGATGCGGCCGGAGTTGGATCAGACTAATTCCTAGGCACCTCCTGGGTGCTCTGCTGGCACAGGGCGTCAGGGAGTGCAGCTAAGGGACAGTGACATCACCTGAATCCACTCAACAGACACAGGGCCAGAGAGATCAGACCCCCAAGGAGACCAGAGGGTGGAGGAGGGAGGGAGGCAGGTCTAGGAAGGGGATCCGGGAGGTTTCTCCGTGGAGGTGGCAGGAAGGACAGGTGGAATAGGGGCGTGTGCAGAGCCATGGAGGTAGGAGCATGCGATAGATACGTGGGGACTTCAGTGGTCCAGAAAGGCTGTAGGGGTGCACAGGAGGCAGCTGGGGTGAGGTCAGAGAAGCAGGCGAGGCCATGATTGCCCGGCCAACAACCCAGGGCTTTATCACATGGCCCAGAGCCCCGGCAGGTGCTGCAGTTTTTAGATGCGACTGAGCAGGGATCAGAAATACCTCTCCAACACCATGAGGAGGGGTGGCGGGTGGGAGTGACCTTGCAGTCAAGGTGACCAGGTCTCCCGCAGCCTGAGCCTCTGTGGCAACTGAGGGACTGGAGGAAAAGTGAGGGGCTTAAGAGAGACACAGTGGGGGACAAACAGGAGCCTGCGTCCCGTGGCAATCTGGTCTGTGAGGTCCCTGTCCGCCCTTCCGTCCTGGGAGTGTGGCTGTGGGGCACTCACCTGTCACCGTCCTCCTCAACGCCATAGCCACTCTTCTGGCCCCTCTCCCAGTGGCCCGTGTATCTGAAGGGCTTGGGAGCCTGTGGGCCACTCTCAAGGACCCCAAAGCCGTGCCGCAGGCCCTCCTGGAAGTAGCCCTTGTACACCTCGTCGGAGCTGTACCTGGGGAGGGTCATAAACAGCCAGCCCTGCCTCATGGAGCTCAGCCCAGAGAATGGGCTCTTCCCATAAGCCCCTCAGCCAGGGCCACTTACTCACAGATGCCGTAGCCACACATAACGCCGTCTCGCCAGTGACACTTGTAACAGTCGAACCTGTCCTCCGAGGCCTGGGGCAGCAGGCGGATGCCGAAGCTGACAGTGTGGTTGTGGGGGTGGGGATCAGCCCTGACCTGAGACGCCAGTCACACCGGCTCCAGGCCACCCAGGAGTATCCCTGCCTTCCTGCTCTTCAAAGGGCCCCTCTCGGGACCCCCTCCCTCCAGGCTGTCCCCATGCACCCTGAGCACCTTTTGGCCTGTACCACTCCCTCTGTGACCTCAAGCTGAGACGGGCCCCCCTATTCTTGGCCTTGGTTCCCCTTCTGTACAGTGAGGGGGACTGGACCAGATTGTCTCTAAGTTCCTGCTTGAGGGTTGGGAATTCAGGAAGGGGCCCGCTGGTGACCACAGCAGGGGAGGAAAGCACTCCCTGCCCACCACATGCCCCGCAGCAGCAGCCCCAGCCAGCCTCACCCGTGCTCCAGGCCCTGGCAGAAATTCCCCGCGTGATTCCGCCCATCTGGCCATTTCAGGGTTCCCCTGGAACACAGCGGAGGTTCACAGGCCTCAGGCCCTCCCACCCCTCGGCAGCCTCAGCCGCAGACTTTCTCAGATGCCCTTCCTTCCTCTTCCCTTGAACTGGACTCTGCACCCACCCAGTCCTCTTGTCTGAGCTCCAAACACCCCCTCAAAAAGCCCCTTTAGCCCTTTTCTACTCCTGGCCCCACTGTACCTGCAGCCTCACGGGGCACACTCACCACATCCCATAAGGAAAGCCCTGGAGACATCTAGGTTCTCTTTTTCCCTTGACCAACGGGAAGCTCAGACCTAAGCATCAAGCTCAAGTTTAATGCTAGTCGGTGGGGTTTCTACCATCCTCCTCCCCACTTCTGTGTTTTTTCTGTCCTTTTGGTCCTAAGTCTCCTCAAGCCCTTTCTGGAAGGAGGCAGCGTATTAGAACCTAGCGGAGGTGCTTGAGACTGTGGCCTTGTGAGTCTCTTCTGCTCTCCAGGTCTGCCTTCCCAGCTGCGGCATGGGGTGGGGCCACGTGGTCTGTAAAGGCTTGCCTGTCTGTGGGGTCACACAGGCCTGTGATTGAGGCCAGCTCACCCTTCACTTGCCCTGAGACCTTGGGCAGGCCATGTCCATCACTAGGCCTCAGTTTCTGTACCTACGAAATGGGTGAAAGCACTTACAGAGGGCCTTTATGAGAACTGACGGAGACTGAATGTGTGCAAACCATTTCACCACCAGCAGACAATGCGTACAGACACAGAAGTGTCCTCCCACCCTCCAAAGAACAGAATGGCACCTGCAGGCTCCAAGGCCCACAGCCGGTGGCTGCCCCTTGTTCTCTAGTGTCACCATCAAGACTTTATTTGGCACAGACCACCTCTGGGCCAGGCCCAGTCCAAGAGGACTTAAGAGGGACTCTGAGAATTGACTGTCCACAGGGAGTAGCCGCTTCTGCTGCACGCGCTGAGACAATTCGGTTTGTGTGCTGCCGTCTGCCCCCAGGCCCCTGAGGAGCCCCACCTTGCCACCCAGAGCTCCCGCCACTCACTTGCCATGGGGCCGGCCCCTGCACCACTCGCCCTCGTAGGTGGCCTGGCAGAGCCGGCCCTCCGCACGGAAGGTATATGCTGCACAGCGGTGGGTGGGAGGCTCGGGGGGCTCCAGGCCAGCCCCCAGCACAGGGAAGTCCTTCTTCCCTCGCAGGGCTTGGCGAACGGCCTGGGTCACCTTCCACTGCCAGACCGCCTGGTAGGAGGGGAACCCGGGGAAGTGGGTCACTGCTGCTGGAGGCTTTCCCTCCAAGAAGCCTTCTGGCACAGCTCTAGGTGCCCCCCCTACTCCGTTCTGTCACCTGGGGGACCCTTCAACTGCTCCTTGCTGCTCTCTGGGGCCCTCCATCCAACCCGAGATCCTCCTCCGAAGTTTCAGGGCCTGCCCAGAGTTGGTCAAACAAGACCCCAGGGCAGGGATCGACACAGGACCCCATTCTGTCTTTGCGAAGAAAAGTACCCTGTTCTTCCTGGCATTCTAATGCCTGACCCGGATTTACTCTGACCCGGACCCCAGAGGCCTGCCAGCCGCTCGCCGCCACTCCCGCGGGACCCTGCAGGGTTGCATACTTCTGCCCTCTTCCTACCTGGTCCTGGGACCCTACTCCCGAAATTCGCAGCTCACCCACACGCACCTGGCCCTGGGAGTCCTTGGCACAGAAGGAGAGCTCTTCTTCTGGCGTGAGGAGGTGAAATGTGCACCTAGACAGACGGAGGCGACGAGTAGGCCCCAGCTCTGTCCAGGAGGGTGGAGGGGCCCAAGCCAGAGCCCCGGGTGTGGGCACGTTATCATGGGGTAAAGGGAAGAAGGCCTGGGGCATCAGCCGAGGGCGTCACTCACCGTTCCTGCCCAGGATCCACCCACACCAGCCTCAGATCAAAGATGTGGACGTTGTGGCCCTAGAAGAGGACAGACACAGGCGTCATCAGAGCCCAGGCCAGGTGCTCACCCACTCTCTCGCCCAGGCTTGCCCCAAGCTCAACCCTGCGTGGCCACCGAGGCTACTCTGCCCAGCTTGTCCAGCACCGAGCCTCTCTCCCCTCTGGCCTGACCCCGCTGGAGGGAAGCTCCTCCATGTCTTTTCCAGTCCTGGGCCTGGCCAGGAACTCGACCAGCCTCCAGCGCCCTGTGGCCACGAGAGTGGTCTAGAAATGAAGCTGGGACTCAGTCAGCCTCTGCTGGAAACCTCTATGTCTCCGGCTGCCTAGGGGGTTGAGACACTGCTGAGCCTCATGTTCCCAACCTCACCGCCCACTCCGGGCTCCTGTGTCCCTAGCTCTCACCAGCTCCACAATCGCACCTTCCTGAGCTTGCCCCAACCTCTGCTCACTGTGAACCTTTGCTCATGCTGTTCCTGCCACCTGGAATGCCTTCCTGCTCTGAGGGCCAGAAAAAAAGCCCCTTCCTCGGGAAGATTTTGTGTAGCAACTTCCTGCCCGGCCCAGGCAGGCTGATCACTGCTCCATACCAGGAGGCGGAGGTGGGAGGCCCAGGCCTGAGGGGTGAGAAGGAGCTTGCCAACCATAGGCCATGGGCGAGAGACAGCCCAGCAGACATGACAGCACGTGCAAAGATCCAGCGGCAGGAAAGGGCTAGCACAGGGAAAGACAGTGGCTCATCGGTGTCCCCGGAGCAGAGCGTGAGGTCGGGAGTGGAGGGAAACTCAAACTAAATCAGAACCAACCCCAAAATCAGGCTTCAGGAGACCCTGGTGTAGGCTGGGCAGCAGCATACCTCAGGCCCCACCCACCCTGTCTGCAAGGGGGTTCCAGGCCAACCTTCTAAGGGGCAGAGAAGACAGCGCGGCTGACCTCACCAGGGCAACATGATTCCAGGGAGATGAACCCCAGCTGGTGACTGGCCATGCAACAGTTCCAACTTCCACAATGCTGAGAGCCCAGGCCCTGCTCCTGTGGGGTGCTTTTCTCTAGAGGCCTTCTCATGCAGCCCTCCTCAGTCACCCCTCAGTCACTCATGACTTCCTGTCTGGGGTTCCTCTCTCATTTGAGTACAAAGGGAACTAAGAGTTGTCAGGTGTCTGCTATAGAACACATTTACTGACAGTGATCCCCACTTTCCAGTTGGGAAAACTGAGGTGAAGACATTTAACCAAGGACACCAGCTGGGAGGGGCTGAAGCGGGGACCAACCTTGGACAGCCTTTCCCCACAGCCCATGCTCCTCTGGGGACAGCTCCAGCTGACCGCCCCTCCCCAGCACTCTGCCTTTCTGTCCGTGAACATCCCTCCAAGCCCATGTGCTCAGTCCCAGCAGCATGTCCCTTTCCTGCTCCTTTTCCAACCAGACCCCAGAACCCTACTGTGGTCCCAGACCTCGGGTCAGCCCCACCCCAACCTGCAGCAAAACGAGGACATCATCGAAGAGCAGCGCGCGCTCAGCCCGCAGGGGTGAGACCGTCACGGGCACGTCCTGGCTGTCCTGCAGGAGTCTGTGAGCAGGGGTGCAGAGGGCATCCTGGTGGGGCGAAGAGGACAGTACAAGGCTTAGGAACCTCTGGCCTGCAAGCTGCCAGCCACTCTGTCACCTCCCTTTGTACCCCAGACACCTCCCAGGGGCCTCCTCCAGTGGACCAGGTGTGCACCCCGGACCAGTGATGGACAGAAATGCACAGGTGATTCATCTCTGGCCTCTCACAGCAGGGCAGCAAGTCTCTCTCGAAGCTTCAATGTCCTCTCCCACACCTGTGCCTCAGCCCAGCCATGCCCTGTCAGTCTTCTCCTGGGATTCAGCAACCCCACCTCCCTTCCACAGTCCACTCCTAATTCTCCACACCAGGTCCAAGCCTGGCACGCCCTCAGGGCACACGGGACTCTCCTCCCTGCAAGGACAGTCCACACCATGGTAGGCAGTGACGGAGGGTGTGATCAGTGACATCCTCAGGAGAGGGGTTGGGTTCTGCTGATTGCCTCTTCTCTAGGCCAGGTCAGGGCCTGGCTCAGAACATGCTCAGCAGACGGATAAGAATGGCTGGACAGAGGGACCTGACAGATACCTAGTTCAGCACCACTTCCGCTTCCATATGGGAAAACTGAGGCCCGGAGAATACAGCCAGCAGCTCAAGCCCCCCAACAGCTCCATGCCCAATGTGGAACCCCTCCCTAACTGCCCCTCGGGCCCCCGCTCACCCTCGGCCGGCCTCTCAGGGTGTGCCAGAGAGCCTGTGTGGCCGCAGCCTGGTCCAATGCCTGCTTCATGAAGGACTGCAGGTTCCCAAAGAGGGTGATTGCGTTCACCACCAGCTCCCGGGTTGGGTGACGCTGAAGAGGGACAGGGCAGCCAGTGAGCGGGGAGCTTGCTGGAATCTTCCCCCACCAGGAGGTAGCTCCGTAGCCCAATCCTGACCCCCGCTGGTCAGGAGGCCTGAATCTAGGCCAAACTTTGCCCTTTTCTCCCTGACGGCTCCTCTTCTGCTGGTGGGGCAGCGGGTAGAATATGAAGGTGCTTCCCCAGCTCAGCCTGGTGCTCACTCCCAGGACACAATTCCACCCCTGCTCTCTGGGTCTCTGCTGGCTCTACCAAGGACAGGGCCACATGCCTCAGACACCTAAGGGCAGGGCAGTGCTGTCAGCCACTGATTCCCTAGGGCAGAACCATGTCTTTGGAACCCCTCCTCGGGGCTGGACCACGTCCCTTATGTCCCCTGGAAACCCCATGACAGGGCTATGATTCCCTCAATCCCCCGCCCCTGGTCTGTCTTGTACTCGGGTTCCTGAGTACAGGCTGAGCCCTGTCCCCCACACAGCTGCTGCCCCTTGTACCCACCTCCCCAATGGTGTCCCCGAGGCTCAGCAGGAGGAGCACGTACTGTTGCACATGATGGGCGAGCGGCTGGTGGAGGGCCTGGCTCAGCGATGCACCCACCGAGCCCTCTGAGCTCAGGCCTGACAGCAGCTGGCGCAGCGCCTTCCGTTGGCCCCGCCAATACTCGCTGCACGTAGAGAGGGCCACACACCACCTTCACCCCCTCATCCATTCCTGCACCCACACCGCGGCCTCCCTGCCCTGGCGAATCCCCCCAGATCCCAGGGCCAGCCCCAGTCCCCAAACCTCGACCCTATCAGATCAATGCAGTGCCTGAGTTACCCTCACAGGTTCAGGAGGAGCATCTCAGGGTGTAGAGGGATCACTGATCACAGCCATCCACCCTGAAGGTGCCCCTCCTTCCCTGGCCCAAGGCCAGCCCAGCCAAAGGGGGTCTGGATTCTGTTCTTGGCCTCACTAGGCCTTTCACCCTTCTCTTCCCGTGTGGATCAGTGCAGACTTGTAGAGCCAGGAGTCCTCCAAGATGAGTCGTGGGCTGTGACACCATCATTCCTAGGTGCCCTTCCCTCCAGACTAGAGGGCCTAGACTCACCAGCTGCTCTGGGGATGGGGCTTCCCCGACCCCTCCCTCACTCAGGCACTCCTACCCGCCTCAGGGGCCTGCACGGCCCTGTGCTCACCCTCTCCTCCTTGCTGCCTTCTGGAAGGCCTGCACCACCATGCAGCTTGTGTAAGACTTGATATACCTGCAGGCAGCACAGAGGACACACTGCAAACCCAGTCCCCAGCCCCAGACCTAAGCTGCTGGTCCCTAGGGTCCCCAGATCCCACCCACTAAGCAGCTGCAGCCCTGAGGGTCCAGACAGTGGCCTGGCTCTGGGCACTGGCGACCTCAACTCCTGAGCCAACAAGACAATTCTAACATACAGTCTCTCTTCCCTGGGAGGCCCCAAGGCTCAGTCTGGAGAGTCTGAGCCAGCTGTCAGAACACCCAAGCCCAGGTGAGGTTGACCCCAGGTGAGCACCAACCTTGGACTGAGCCCAAACCTTTGCCTGAACCCTGACCCCTGGGAACCCCAACCCCAGCTGAACCTAAATGCCAGGTGGCACTCTGACCCCAGGGCTGAGCCCCAGCCCCCGCTCCAGGGGTCTTACTCCACGTGGGCCTGCAGGACACGGTCAGCATCTCGCAGCAGCAGGAGGGACTCCAGACCAGTGGAATTTGGGTGACGCAGCCTCTCCTGCAGTGAGTGCACACTTTCCTCCGTCACTTCCCAGAGCTGCTGGGAGCTCTTGTGCAACTGTTGCAGGAGCTGCAGGCACTCTCTGCCCCAGGGATCTGAGGGCTCTGGGGCTGGGGAAGGAGTATAGCCACACGGTGAGTGGGGTACATGGGCATCATCTCCCAGGGAGCATGCAGAGGCCCTGGGTGTTCACATGAGAGCCACCAGCACCGGCCAGCCCTGGATCTGTGGCAGAGTCCTGCACCCCTGGGATCCACAGGACAGAATTGGTGCACCCTAGAGCTGAGCAGGGGGAGGGCAGGCTCAAGCAGTGGGCAGCGCCCTCGAGGAGGAATAGAGGTATACATCTGCCTCCTCACCTTCCAGGGGTAACCCTGAGAACGTTAGGGAACTAAGTGCATACACAAACTCCCCCCCGGCCCTGGGCTTCCTCATCCTGGACTCCTCAGATCTGGAATGTGGAGTCACAGGGTCACACAGTCCTCTGCCATTTCACAGATGCACAGAGGCACCTGTCCAAGGTCTCACAAGCGAGACTTGAGCTGGAAGTGAAACCTACACATCCTGTGTTCCAGTCAGGGCTTTTCCTGGCACCACCAGGTGCCCTAGGTGGGAGCAGGATGAAAATTCAAGCAGAGGGCAGTCTCTAGTCTTTCACCCTGAGAGAGGAGGAATTCCATATCTGTGCACAGCCTGGTCTGGGCTACAGGTGGTTTCATGGCCTGGCCCCTCGGGGTGCCTTTCAGAAGGGAGTAGTCAGGCCGGGCATGGTGGCTCATGCCTATAATCCCAGCACTTTGAGAGGCTGAAGTGGGCAGATCACTTGGAGTCAGGAGTTCGAGACCAGCATGACCAAACAAGGTAAAACCCAGTGTCTACTAAATATATGAAAATTAGCCAAGCCTGGTGGCAGGTGCCTGTAATCCCAGCTACTTGGAAGGCTGAGGCACAGGAATCACTTGAACCTGGGAGGCAGAGGTTGCAGTGAGCCGAGATCGCACCACCTCCATCAGAAGATGCTGATACCAAGTGTCACCACTCCTATTTGGGGTTGAGAAAGCTGTGGCTCAGCGAGTCCAACAAGGTAGGACTCCTGTCCCTGGGATCATTCCTAGGTGCCCTTCCCTCCAGACTAGAGGGCCTAGACTCACCAGCTAGAAGCAGGGGCTTGAGGACAAGGCTGTTGACACGGGCAAGGGTGGCTGAGAAGACCTCCTCCAGCCGCAGCAGGGCTGCCTCCTCAGGGCTGCACATGACCCGGGTGCCGGACTCGGCCTCCTAGATAGGGCACAGGTTATAGATTAATAGCACGGGTGGGAGCAAGGCCAGTGCCCATCCTCTCAGGCTCAGTGCCCAGAAGCAAGGTCCGTGACCAGCCACATCAGAACCGAGCAGTGAGCCCAGATCGCCTCACAGGGGAGTTCCGGGACTGGCACTGGCCCCCGCCCTGCTCCCTGCCTGGGCCCAGCTGAAGGGTCCTTGAAGGAGAGAGAGGGCTCAGAGCTGCCAAGGGAAGCAACCCTTTCTTCCCCAAAGGGTAGCTATTCTTTAAGCCCAGTTTGGTCTGCTCATTCCTCTGCTCAAACACCCACCACGGATCCCAAGTGCCCAGGGTAGTGTTAGTGGTGCCCTGGTCTTAGCCCCCTTTTCCATTGAGTCTCCCTTCAGGAACTCTGCTGTCTCTGTAAACAGGGACATGCCGTCAGAGGAGTCCAGCCTTCCTGTCCTCAAGGCCATGGCTCGGGACTCCCTGTCACCCACGGGGCTGTGTAAGCAAGGAGAGGTTTGAGGGCATGGGGGAGCCTGGAGGCCTCCTGCTGGAGCCACAAAGGATGGGCAAGAAGTGAAGAGGAAGAGAGGATGCAGCATGCAAGGGAGAGAACTGTGAGAGTAAAGGCTCCTGGGTGTGAGAGCCCAGACCCCGAGGGCAGCCCAGCCAGCAGCACCCCGAAGGGCCACATCTTCTCTGTGCCTCAGCTGGCCATGGATAGCCATGGAGGACTTCAGGGCAAGGTAACGATGGGATCTGAAGTCAGATTTGGGGAGACGAATGTATGACAGCTGCAGAAGAGATGGTGCCGGGCAGTGAGAGAGAGTTTGATGTGGATGGGAGCATGGTTCCCCAGCCGGATGGAAGAATAGCTGACCACAACCATCCACCCTAAGGGGGGCCTGTTGGACGGGTGGAGGCCCTTGGGGTGGGTGTGTGGGCTTGAGCCTTGAGATTTCCTGTCCTGGCGTGAGGGACGTTCCAATCAGCAAGAATCACCTGGGAATGCAGTGCCCTGCCTGGAGGGAGGGGCGATGAGCGTCCTGGGCTCAGACCCACCCCCACAGCCAGGCTACAGCCTCTACTTCAACAAAGCCCTCCCCTACCAGACCCTGGTACCCTCACTTGGCAAAGTTCATCTGCCCAAATGGCCTGATCAGGTATCTGGGGCAGAGAGTTAGAGGGTCTTTTAGCCCAAGAACTGCAGACTGTCTCTCTCCTTGTCTCTGACACTCTGAGGCTTTGGAGTTAGCCAGCCTGGGTGGGGCAGGGGCCATAATCAGGGCAACCAATGATAAGCAGGTGACATAGACAGACCCAAAAGGGTGCATGGGAAGGGATCTCAGCCCTCCCCTCCCCACCCTGCCCCAAGGGTACCAGGGGGCATCCCAGGCCACTGTCAGAGCCTACAACTCCCAGGGAATTGGCTCTGGAATGGAGTGGGGCGGGCCCCTCAGAGCTCTGGCCAAGGGCCCGGGCCAGGCATTCCTGCCCCACCTTTCCTGCTACTGCTGCTTCAGGAGGGTGAGGCTACAGAGGGAGAGGCAGGAAGCGGAAGCCGCCTGACGCCCAGCTGCAGCCATCTTCGCCCTCTGTGGGCCCCTGAGGCAGCCCCAGGCCCCCAGGACACAGGGGACTCCAGGTCAGCTCAGGCAGACCAGGAGAGCCCAGCCAAGGGAATAGGAGTCCAGCCAGGGCCACCTACCTCACACCCATGTCTCCCGAAACTGCTGGAATGGAAAGGCCCTTTGGGGATGACCTTTCCAGTCTCAGCTGGCCATCAGCTGGGGTCTAAGCTGAGAGGTGAGGATATTCAAGGCTGGTTGGGGAGGTGGAGAAGGGGTAAGGCTAGGATGGGAGATGCAGACTGGGAACCAGTTCAGTGCAAGTTGGAAAGGTACTGCGGTGAATAACTCACCACTAGGAAGACTTGACCACCACCATCCCTCCACTCTTCTGGGGGCCAGCATCCCAACCCCAGCCGACACCACACCTTGGCAAGGAGCTCTCTGGCCCTGGAGATGCCTCTCCTCCTCAGGTTTCCTGTCCCTTGTCCCCACTGCCCAGTCTCAGCGGCTGCCCCAGGAGCAGCTTCTGACCACCCCCCGCCCCTCACCTGGCTGCTCAGCCCTGGCTCGGCCTCAGCTTATCCACAACCCTACTCCTCTCTGTACCTCAGCCATCCCTCTACAAAATGCGGGTTCAACCAGATCACAGCATTTTTTTTCTTTTTCTTTTTTTTTAAATTGGGTTGCGGGGGGTCTCACTATGTTGACCAGGCTGGTCTCGAACTCCTGGCCTCAAGTGATCCTCCCATCTTGGTGTCACAAACTGCTGGGATTACAGGCATGAGCCACTGCATTCAGCCAAAGCAGATCACAGCTTTTCAAACGAATTAAGTCTCCCCTCAAAAGGACAAACAGGTGGAATGGGGCTTCTCTGGGTGTAGGGAGCTGGTCCTTAGACTCCCCACCCCACAAAGCAGCCTATGACCACTGGGATCCAGACTCAAGTTGGCAACTGTTAATCTGGGGGATCTTCCACATCTGTGGCCCCAAAGGGATCTCTAACCCTGGGAAACTGAGTCCCCCCACCCAGAGGAATGGGCAGAAGTTAAGCATGGCTGGGAGGCAGTGGGTTGGCGTAAGACTGCAGTCGAAGCTGGGATTCGGGAGGGGCCCAGCTCTCAGGCTAGGGAGTTTGAAGCTTCATCCTCGAAGTGATGAGGAGAGTGTAAGTACAGGGGTGAGGCAGCATGAATGTGCATGAGTGTGCGTGAGTGTGCATGAGTGTGCATGTTTGCAGAGCAGGAGGAAGCAGGGTTGAACCTTAACATAACGGCCCCTCAAGAGTGGCCCCTCCCCAACCCCTGTCCCACCCTTAACCTTCCAGCTCCAGTCAAAGACACGGCTTCCTCACCCTCTCCCTCCCTCCAGTTCAAAGGTTCCTTAGTGGGAGGCTGTGCCCAATGTACAGATGGGGAAACTGAGGCCCAGGAACAATGGGAGGGCCCAGAGACACTATCTGTAGAACTTGTGCAGTGTTCAGACCTAGACCTCTGGCTCCAGCCCAGCAGGCTCTCCTGAGCTAAGTGGCTCAGAGAGGTTGGGCAACTCACCTGAGGCACACAGCAAGATCCTGGCAGGGCTGTCCTCAGACAGTCCTGATGCTCACATGGGGTGGGGCCGGGTGAGGACAGAACTGGCCAGTCACAGCGTGCCCAGGTGCGTCATTGGCCGCCCCTGTGGCGCTCTAACCAGTAGCCAGACCCAGTCTCTCCTCTGCATTCCTGGCCTCTGTCCACACTGGGTCCCTCCCAGGCAGGGTCACCGAGGCCTCCCCTATCCTCTCCCAGGCCTGGCTCCTCAGGCCCCTGACACACCCGTCATGACACTCACTCTGGTATTTCCTGGTCTGCAGAGGCAGGGAAGTTCTGCTTGCTGTGGAGGCTTTTTCCTGGGCTGCCCTGGAAGCCCCTTCGTTGTCTGGTGTCCAGTGGGGAACAGTAGAGAGACGCACTGCCCTAGGGAGGGGGCGCTGAGCTGTCACACCTGATCCCTCAGTCTCATGCTCGCCTCTCCCCGCACCACCCTTCCTTGGCCCCTCCCCTCCGTGGCTCCAAGCCTCTGGTCCTGGAATGAGCACCCCTCCTTGCTGTCGCTTATGTCCCAGCTTCCCTTCCTCTCCCTGCCCAGGCACACACTCAGTCGCTGGAGTTTCCCAGACCCGAGCTCCTGTTCCGGCCGCCAGGCATTTGCCATGCGGCTCCCATGCGAAAGGCCACCTCCTGGACTCCCGTGTCCTGCCCTTCCGCCCTAACCAGCCAGCGTCACCTCCTCCTGGCAGTCTCTCCTGCTGGCTGGGGCCCCGCGGCCCTGGCACCACGGCTCAGGTCGGGCTCCGGGAGCTGCCCCGAACTCGAGCCGGCGGGCAGCCAGGCGGGGAGGACGACGTTGTGAGCCCCGCGAGAGCCGAGGGGGGTCTTACGAGGGACTCGGACGGCCGGGGGTGACTGCCGCCGGGACCGAAGAGCGGGGCGGGGACTGCGGCTGCCGAGGGCGTGCGGAGGCGGGAGCCCCCATCTGGACCGGCTGAGCGTGGAGCGCAGAGACCCGCCCGCAGACGCGCGCCCTCCTTCGCGCCCTTACCTGAGCGCTGTGGTTGCCCCGCGCCAGGAGTGCCCGCGAGGCTCCTGGCTTGCACCCCCCGCTCCTGCCCCTGCCAGCCCCGCCCCCTCCGCCCCTCCCCGCCCCGCCCCGCCTCCGGGTGTTGCTCTGGAGTTACGGGGTGGCCACCGGCGGGCCACAGAGGAGGTGGCGCGCGGCATTGATCCTTCCCACCGCCCCTCGCCTCTCCTGAGGTCTCCCTCTGGCGTTCCCCTGGATACCGAGGCCCCTGGGACCCGGCGCCCGAGGCCGCCTTGCTGCCCCCTCCCCTCCCTTGCTGCGCAAGGGAGGGGGCGCTGAACTGTCACACCTCAGCCCTCAGTCTGCCTCAGTGCGGAGGCGGGAGCCCCCCACTGCTCTTCGAGCCTGCGGTGCAGCCCCGTGACCTCCCCAGTCTGCCCTGAGTCACAGAAGCTGGCACACACGGAGCGCTGTGTGGGTTCGTCGAACTTGGAATCGAGAGAGGGGTATCTTGAGGTGCCCTGCGGCCCCCTGGGCTGGGTGTCCATGGCCAGCTGCCCCTCCTGTGTGACACTGGGGAGGTTTCCTTCCCCTCCACCTCTCCTGAATCTCAACATGGCTCAGGAGAGCATGAAGCTGGCCAGGTGTGCTTTGTGCCAAGGCCTGAGACCTTGAAAAGGGTGGCTGAAGACTGGTCTGGGACAGACCCCAGGGAGCGGGAGGGAACTTGGTTCAAATCTGCAACAAGGAAGCCCCCTGCCAGCCACCTGATCCCCCTCTGGCCACCAGGCTAGTCACTCATTGCTCTCAATGGCACCCAGGTTCCAGTGAGGAGGAGGTTCAGGGTCCAAGGCAGCTGTGGAAGAGCAGAAAGGGCGACCCACCAGCCCCTACTCAGTCCTGAGGAGGTGGGAGGTATCCCCCACCCTGCTGGGCTGAAGGGACCTCCAGTGGAGGTAAACGGGGGGCCTGCAGCCCGCCAAGCTCATCCCTGTCTCCCTTGGGTTGTCGCCAGGTGGGAGCTTACCGTCTGCCAAGCTGCATGCCACCCTTAGGCTTGGAGGGTTTCCAGCCTGGGACCCTTGCCTGAGTAACTACAGGCCCCAGCGACCTCACCCTCTTGCCCCACATTGCTCTCCTCCTGGAGAGATCCTGCAGAGCCACTCCTCCCTGCTTCTCCATCCCTTCCCACACTGCCAAGACCCTGCCCTAGCTCTGGCCTCCCCTTTTCCAGCCTTGCTTTTTTGCACCCCCTGCTGCCTGAGGGGCTCCATTCCCAAAGACCCTGCTCCTCTGGGCCCCGCCTGCCAGAGGTGTTGCTGTGTTGGTGGGTGGGGGCTGCCTCAAAGGAGGTCTCTGGTGAAGTGTCCCTCTGGCCCTCTGGGAAAGCCTCCCCTCTCCATGTCCTTCACCCCCAGGCTCCGGACCTTGGCCCCCACCAGCCTTCACAGCCCTGATGGCCTGGGGAACTGTCTGCCGGGGCACATGGTCTCCCTGAGCCTACAGCACAGCCTGGCAGAGCCACTGCCCCAGCAGGTGGAATGAACTGACGCTTCAGGTTCTAAACAGGCCTCCAAGGTCTTCCCTGTGGGGATCCTGTGTGCCTGTGGGGCAATGGGAAGGCGCAGAACATTCTGGAAAGAGACTGGTAGGCGGCCTTATGCTGCTTCCTCTTGCTGTGTGATCACAGGCAATGTGTGGCCTCTCTGTGCCTTAGTGTCCCTGCTGGTGAAATAGTCTTACCTGCACCTTCTTCTCGGGGTTATGTGGGACTCTGAGAGGAGGGGCACGGTAGGTTCAAGGGGCTCCTTCAGGGATGAGCATGGTTTAGCAGATCTATAGGTTCCCTAGAACATGGGTGTGGGCCACTAGGTATCCCTGGGGTTTGGGAGGGAGGCAAGGGCTAGAGAGTGGTCATGGCCTCAGGAGGAGCATGCGGCCTCACCGCTTGTGACAAACAGGGGCAGGTGAGGCAGGGCCCTGAGCAGGGCAGATCTGATCTTGTGCTAGGTGTCTCTGGGCTTCAGTTTCATCATCTGCACGTGTGGCTGAGGGAAGGCAGTGCTGCCGGGGCTCCAGCAGGATGGGAAGGGCTCCCACGGCTTCCTCCCTAGAGCCCAGACTTCCTGTCCAGCCACATCTAGGGGAATGGGAAGTCTGACTGAGCTCTGGGCGGCAGGCCAGTTCTTCCCCATTCCCTGGGTGACCTCATGGGCATGGCAAGCCTGGTTTTCCTATCTGCTAAATGGGGCAAGACCTGCCCAGCCTCTCTTCCAGCTCGTTCTCGGCTTGGGGCCAGATAAGGCCTCCAGCAGTACCCAGAGGACAGCCTCTGCTGAGCCCACCTGCCTCAGTCCCCTGCAGCACAGCCAAGGGCCCCTGGCCAAGCCTACCACAGATGTGTATACACCCACCGGCAGCACTCCCACTTCCGCTGCCCGCAGATAAAATTCTACAGTCGGGGAACAAGTGGGTCCCTGTGCCACAATGACCCGTTTACCCCTGAACCCACTGGCAAGGGCTCCAAGTTGCACCACTCTAGTGGCAGTCCTGGGTACACATGTGCCCAACCACAGGGACACAGACTGGCACACTGCTCCAGGGAACACACACGTAGGTGAATGGCACTTGTGATTCTGGCGACCTTGAGACTCACACTCAGCCAGACACAAAGCTGCATGCAGAATCCACACACATTCCCGTGTGCACCAGTGCCTTAGCGCACAAGGCACATGCTCAAGCGCACAGGTCTGACACAGGCCTGGCCCAGCCCCGCAGCTATTCCGGACTGAGCCTGGGGCCAACAAGGTCAGGCACAGCCAACTCCCAGCAGGCCCCAGCTGCTGCGTCATAGGCCTAGGCTGCTCAGCTCCCACCTCCACCCTAGGCTCAGTCCTGGATCCTAGCCTAGCTTTGTGATTCGGGGGCCTCATTTCCTACCCCCAGCTTCCCCAGAGCTAACCCTTAAGCCCTGGGGTTTCAGGCTCTAGGAGAGAATTTTCCGCAGGGTGCCCTGGGCAGTGCCCCCTGCCTTGCTCACAGCTTCCAATCCACAGGCCCTAGAGGCTGGACTGGGTCGCTACAGGAAACTCACAGGAGCTAAAAATAGTACAGGAGGGAGAAGCAGGGTTCTGCAGGCCAGCATTCACAGCACCATGTATGGAGGGGACAAGGCTTCCAGGAAACAAGGCTGGGGGGCCTGGAGTCCAGAGCTCCCCAACCCCAGACATGATGGCCCCAACTGGGGTTGGGGTGCAGGGGGATGTGGGGGCCCTCCTAAGAAGCAAAATCAGTACTGGACACTGGGCAGTGCCCTGGGTTAGAGGCAGAAGGCTGAGTTGGAGGCCATAGTTCCTGTGTGACCTTAGGCAGAGCATAACCCCCTCTGAAAAGCCCTCAGAGCTGTAAAGTCCCTCAAAGATGGGGGGCAGGGAAACCTATGTGGTGCTGGTATTGATTTTCGTCCTTGGCTCCTGGCTCACAGCTCCCATTGCCCTTGTTCCAGTCTTTGGCTATAATGTGTTGGGCCTCAGGGCAGGCCTCAGGAAACAGAATCTCTCTGACCTTCTGCCCTGCTTTCTCCCACCCCAAGCCAGGACCCTAATCTTTCAACACCTGATCTTCCAACACCTTTCTGATTGCGGATCTGTAAGACCCTCCCCAGAGAAGGTTCTGCCCTATACTCTGGGAGAAGGAAATGCAGATGTCATGAAGCCTCCGTAAAGCCCAAGAGGATGGGGTTCAGAGGGCTTCCGAAGAGCTGAACACGTGGAGGCTCCTGGAGGGTGGCCGTCCAGGAGGGCACAGAAGTCCCACACCCCTTCCTCCACACCTCGCCCTGCAACTCTTCCCCTGTATCCTTCGTAATACCCTTTACAATAAACCAGTAAAAGTAAGTCAGGGCTTCCCGCAGTCCCGTGACCCACTCCAGCAAATTAAACCCAAAGAGGACATTGTAGGAATCCAATTTGAAGCCGATTGGTCGGAAGTTCCAGAGGCCGGACTAGCGACTGCTGTCTTGGGGCTGGGCGGGCAGTCTCGGAAACTGAGCCCTCAATCTGTGGGGTCTGCATTATCTCCAGGTAGAGCTTACCTGAATTGAATTGGAAGGCACTCAGCTGGTGCCTGCTGCTTGGCGTGTAGGGAAAAAGCCCACGTACTTGGTCACAGAAGTCGTCTGTGTTGATGATTGCTGTTGTGTTGGTGTAAGAAAAGATCCAGTTTGAGAGCGTTTTCAAAACTACTTCAACTTTCAGGATCTTTACCTCAACACGGTGTTTAATACTGGAGAATTGGAAGCAGTGGAAATGCCGAACAAGGTCTCCAGTTTTTATACAGTGTAACATTACATAGCCTTTAACAAGAATGATGATAATCACAATGACCAGCATTTAATAAAGGCTCGTGATCTGCTGGTGCATGATACTAAATTTTAAAAAATAGAGGTGGGGTCTCGCTGGGTTGCCCAGGCTGGTCTCAAACTCCTGAGCTCAAATGATCCTCTTGCCTTGGCCTCCCACAGTGCTGGGATTACAGGCACCAGCCACCGCACCTGGCCCATGATCCTGAATTATATCTATTTTACAGATGAGGGATTGAAGCTCAGAGAGGTTAAGTAGCCCATCTGAGGATTCACAGCTGTCAGTATGCTCATGTCCCAGAAGCCTTAGCGCAGTTTTAAGCTTTAATAACTTCAGAAGTTAGGACGTATAAAGCTACGAATCTACCAAAAAGAAATTTTTGGAAGTGTGTTTAAATTCTCTTTATGCTACTTTAGTTTTGTGAATTTTGAATGACCTAAGTTTCTTTTTCTTTCTTTCTTTCTTTCTTTCTTTCTTTCTTTCTTTTTCTTTCTTTCTAAGAGACAGGGGTCCCACTATATTGCTCAGGCTGGTCTCAAACTCCTGGTCTCAAGCATTCTTCCCACCTCAGCTTCCCAGTGTTGGGCTGACAGGCGTGAGCCAACTCAAATTTCTTTCAGTCAACTTTTACCATCTTCAGAGGGCAAAGAAGGGAACTGAAACTTTCAAATGGTGTTTCTTCTACATTTGTAGCTTTACACTTCTGAGGTTATTAAAGCTTAAAACTGCCCTGAGACTTTTGGGACACCCTGCCACTGAAGTTCGGTCATTCTGACTTTGAAGCCTGTGTGATAGCATTTGGCTGTGGTGGGGTCAAGGAGGATCTAGAGTACTTGAGCTGGTTTAAAAAAATGTCTGGGTACAAAAGTATACTAGAAAGAGCGTACAGTGAGATCTCAGCTGTGTTCCAGAGTCTAGAGAAGTGGAACCTACGCAGGGCAGTGGCCACATCAGGGGACACCCAGGGACACACATGATTGCATTTTCTTTCAGATTTCTTCACTGGGCTTATCCTACTTGTAGGAAAAGATGGCCGGGGCAGACCTGTGTTACTTACAGTTAAATGATTACAAGCTTGCTTTGCGTTTTATACACTGAGATTCGTGCCACAGTTCAAATATTGAATTAAGAAAACTCCAAACTATGGTGCAGTAAAATAAAAGCAGATATCAAGTGGTAAAAGGAGGCCACAGGAGGCCTATATAAAGACCATCTGAGAGCGCTTTAAACTGCAGAAGGCTGCGGTGTGGTTGCGGGGCAGGAAAGGCTGCTTCGGTCCCATGTCTCTTCCCAACACAGGGTCTGCGTGAGGGTCTCGTAAAGAGGGCTTGCTTGTGCAAGAACTCTGGGAAGGAATTCAACCTCTGGTCACAAGAGGGTCTTTGCAGGTGGGAGCTTGCAGGACAGGAAATTCTTGCAGGAAAGAGATAACCGGAATGCCACAGACTCTGCCTATGTTCTCAGAATACGGAGTAATTCTGATTGCTTTGTGTCTGCAATGCTCGAGAGATAAAAATCCCCTTATTATATAGTGTGAGTTCCCTTGCCTCTCCCTGTTCCTCTTTTGCAAATGCACCTGATAGACAATGGGTGGTAAAAACTCTGTGTCCTTAGTTAGTATTTCTTAGAAGAACCACATTTGCTATTGAATGCTGCGGATACATGCTTTTCCCCTGACCATCTTCCTTCTCAACCCCCCTCCCCACAGCCCGCATGATTAACGATAAAAAAAAAAAAAAAAAAAAAAAAAAAAAAAGCATGTGGAGCCCAGACCTCAATGCCAACGCGGATCACCCCGAGCCAGTGTGTGCTGGACCCCTGGACCCATACCGTGAACTTCTAGTCTTGTCTTTGTCTTATTTCTTTTCTCGCTCCCTCGTCACCACTGGGACACGGGGCACCCACGTCCAGGGTTAGGCTGGTTCCCAACACTACTTCTTGATGGATGGATGAACTTTACAGAAAACAGAAACAGCTCTTCCCTGATTGAGCTGTGAATGGGAGCTTATAAGCAGCAGAGGGTTGCCTGCCCTATTAAGGAGAGCCAGCATTCCCATATTCATTAATTCATATCATCCTCACTTTAATCACAGGAGTCTCACCCTCCCCATTCCATGGATAAGAAACAGAAACAGAGGAGTAATGCTTCTCTCAGTGCAGTACTGCCAGGCTCACTTAGTCCTCACCCATCCAGCCTCCCTGACCCCATGTCCCGAGGGTAACCCCCCTGACTGGTCGGTGTGGCTTTCCCAAACCTGGCCTGTGACCTCAGCACAGGTTTGGAGAGCTGCAGCACGTGATCTGGGTTTTAGCAGAGTTCCTGTTTGCCTGGCCAGGGCATACCTGGGGAGGACGGGATGGCCCAGCCCACACAGTCTCCAGACTTTGCCGCCCACTGTTGAGCGTCTCTTTGATGGGTCTCCTGGGCTGCCCTCCTCCAGAGCTCTCGTTTTCCTGCCCGGCTGTCATCTCCAGCCCCTGACACTGGCAGGTGTCTGCAGGTGGCCCTCTGCTCCCTGCTGCAGCCCGCTGTGGTCCTTGCCCATTCATGGCAAGTCCAGGCCAGAACCCCACAGGGCTCTGGAGCCACAGGGTACCCCGTTTTCAGGGCAGGCCTTGCTGGGAAGAACCAGGCCACCCCCAGCCTGCACAGGCCTCCACCAGCGTCCCTGGTGATAAGGGTTGCAAGGGGCTCAACCCCTGTGCTGCTTCTCCTAACACTCAGCAGCAGGAGATAAATAAGAATGGAAGGAAGGAAGGAAGGAAGGAAGGGAAGAGACCGAAGGAGGCAAGGAAGAGAGGGAGGGAAGGAGGGAGGGGAGTGTCTGCTGACTCCAGGCCTCCCCATTCCTCTTCCTAAGTCTTCAGCCTCTCCCCCAGTCTCTACATCTCCTCAGAACCTCCCTCTGTCCCCCGGTTGTCAGGCTCAACATGGGGTCAGGGCCAGAGTGCAGTATGGGCCAACTTCAGCATGAGGTCGGGGTCCTGGCTTAGACTGAAGTCAGAGTCAGCATTCAGGCTGGGACAGAGGTTGAGGGTACCCAGAGTCAGAAAATGGTTCTCCAGACCTTCCAGGGGCAGCCCACTTCTGTCCTATGGGGCAGAAGATGCTGGCTTCTTCCAGAACCTTCCATATACACTGCCAGCTGGCAGCTCTGACCATACTATCCCCTCCTCTCCAGCTCTGGTGTCCAGGGTGAAGAGAGCCGCCTCTAGGCAGGAAGCCAGGCCAGAAAGCCCAGGACATCCCTGAGTGCCTGTCACCATGGCAACCTGCCCGCTCTGCCCCCCGCCAAACTCAAATCCAGTATATTTTTCAAATCCAGCATGACAGAATGGGAAGGGCCTCCTAGATCAGCAGATTCCAGCCCCTCCCCTTGTCCCAGCTGGAGAAACTGAGGCCCGTTTGCAGATGGGAGGGGGACCTGTTGACTCAGCCTGTCCTCTCTCCCTCCCACCCCCACCTCGGTGACCCTGGGGGCGCCAGGAGCTCTGAGGAGCCTGCGGCCGATCTCCCTGGAGGGAGGAGGCGGGCTCTCCACAGCGGCGATGGCGGGGGCGGCCGGCGCGGGAACCTGACACCCAGGATGAATAAATGATGCGCACTGACTATCCGTGGCCAAAGCCCGCAGCTACCGAGCGCCGGTTGGCAAGGGCAGCGACCGGCGGCGGGCCCATTCGTCCGTGGGAAGATGGCGGGGCGGCCGGGCGCGGGACCCCTCTGGGCGCTGGGCGGCGCCGCGCTCGGGCTGGGCCTCGCGGGGGTTGCCGGGCAGCTGGTGGAGGTGAGGCCGCGGCGCGGAGGGACTGGGGAGGCTGTCGCCGTCCGGGCAGGGGGCAGGGGGAGAGGGGGCGCCTTTCTGATCCGGAGCTGGTTTTATCCCTTCCTCTTGCCCTCGGAGATCCAGTCTCCTGGGCCACGAAGCTCGGCCCCAAGCGCTGCCAGGCTGTGAGAGAGACCTGGCCCCTCTCTTAGGGTCCCTCTTCTGATGGAAGGGCACAGCCCCCTATTTCAGGAACATTAGACTGACGGGGGAGACTCACCCTGACTTTAGGGATTCCCAGCCTGACTGGGGACACAGCCCTGCCCAGACTGATGGGGGATACCGGCCCCCATCCGCCAGCCTTTGGTCTCACTGGCAGGGAGGTGCACAGCCCGGGGTGTCCTGGACCTCTAGTCTGATGAAGCAGATGTAGACCCTGAATTTAGGGTCTTCTGGAGGTAACAGCCTCTGTCTCCAGAGATACTCCAGGGACTCCCGTCTAGTGGAGAGGGGAGACACAGTCTTAAGATGGAGGTGAGGGCATTCCAAGTTGGAGGGTGGGGCAGCAGGATCGGGAGACCCTTTTCAGAGCAACCATGCGGAGCACTAGGTCCAGAGGGGCCGGTGGGGCTCAGGGACTGGGGAGTCTGACTTGGTCCAGGTGATAACAGGGAGCTTTAGAAGGTTTCTGTGCAGGGAGAAGTCACGATGAGTTCTGGTTTGGAAGGAGAGTAAACTGGAGGGGGGTCACACAGTGGGACAGCTGGGAGGAGCTGCTGAGAACACAGAAGCAGGTGGAGAGGATGGCTGGGTGGTTGGGTGGTTGGGTAGAGCCTGGTTGGAGCCAGGAAGGGTGGGGCCATCTGTCACCCCCCTGGTCTCCTTGCACCCCACTCCTGCTTAGCCTGAAATGGGAGCCAGTGAGGGAGCTGGCAGACCAGACCTAGAATTCTGGATTGTGAGGTGAGGCCAGAGGGAGAAGGCCCAGGAGCCAGGGCCAGGGAGAAGCAGGCAAGGGAGGCTGTGAAGGTTGGGGGGCAACCAAAGACAACAGAAAAAACAGAAATGCAAGAGGCAGTGAGGGGTGCCCGGGGAAGCCCTGTGGGGTGGGGGCTTGGGGACAGCGTGGGATAGGAAGGACAGAGCCATGGGGAGGTCGTTATATGGGAACACAGCCCTGAACTGGAGGGTTTGCTGGGGACATAGGGACAGAGCCCTGAACGTAGATGTAGCCTGTCCCTGCTGTTGCCCAGAGGGCGTGACCAGGAGGCTGGACTAGAGTCAGGTGTCAGCTCCAGTGTCCCTGTAAGGGGAGCTAGGCTGGCTTGAGCCCCATGGGGTGCACTTGGGCCCCTCACAGGCTGTCCTGAGGCCTGGGTACAGAAACTGAGCTGGTTTAGGTGCAGACAGAAAGCTGGGGGCGGAGGCTAAGTCGGGTTCTGAGCCAAAGACTCCTCTCCCCCACCCCTAGGAACTCATCTTCCCCTAGCTCGTTGAGGGAAATTGCATTTGGAGGCCATCTGCCTGCGGTCTGAGCGAGGCCCTAGCTCTTCCCTCATGGAAGCACCAGAGATCTAGGCAGGGCTGGGGCCATGTCCCCACCCACCTCGGCCCTGCGTGGGTCACCATCACCCTCCATCAACCCATGAGGCTCTGAAGGAGGTGGGGGCCTCCATGCTCCAGAAATCAGACCCCAGCAGGGCCTACCATGAGGAGAAGACTAGCTGTTACCTGCTGCCGTCCACCCAAGACCCCTATCAGTCCCAGCTCCACCCACATCAGAGCTGGGGGCAAAAATGTGTAGGAAGTGAGGTCTCAGCTGCCTTGGCTCAGAACCTGAGAACTTTACTATGGCCCTCTGAGTCTTCTAGTCATACAACCCAGCTGGGCCAACACATTGGGCCTTAGAATTAGGGCAGCTGCCACTACCGAGCCCCTAACCGTAATGCCACAGACATGTGCCTGACCACCCCACATGTGTTCCAACCACACATGTGCCTGACCTCACACAAGTTCCCCAACCTTACGTACCTGGGTCTGACCCCACACATACATCCAGGGGACGGTACTGAGGAATGGTGTCTTCTTGTCAATAGCTCACCCTGGCCAGGAGAAAAAAGCCTGGGAATCAGGTACCAATCTCAGCCCACAGATCCTCTGGGTTACCTGCGACAGGTCACTGATCCTCTCTGAGTTCTGCAACCCATGCTGAAGGGTGGCATTCACTAGGTGAAAAAGTGCTTGGCTCATGATAGATGCCCAATCCATGTTTATGGGCCTGGGGGAGGAAGAGCTGAATGGTCGAGCTACAGGTTACCTTTCTTCTCAGAAAACCAGAAGGGACTCCTCCTGTCTGTCATTATTTGGAAATCAGGGGACAACAGCTTGCTCATATGCCCCAGGGTTCTCTCTCACTGAGGACAGACCCCTCTCTCTGCCCCTCAGCCACACTAAGTGACATAGGGTCATGTCCATCTCTGGTCAGGGACAGATCTTACTCAAATTCCACAGTGTGGGTACACGTGTCTTCACACCTGGCCAGGACTGTGTCCCCTAGACACCCAGGGTGGGCCATGTTCCCTAGACACCCAGGGCAGGGTCGTGTCCCCTGTACAACTAGGACAGGACCATGTCCCCTCAACACCCAGGACAGAACCATGTCCCCTGAACACCTAAGGCTAGGGCCATGTCTCCTCAGACCTGGGGCAGGGCCATGTCCCCTAGACACCCAGGAGCAGGGCTATGTCCTCTCAGACCTGGGGCAGGGATATATCCCTTAGATATCCAGGACAAGGCCATTTTCTCTCATAACTGGGGCAGGACTGTGTCCTCTAGACCCTGGGGGAGTGTCCTGTCCCTCCAGCCCCCCCCAGGGCGGGGTAATGTCCCCCTGGAAAGTGGGAGTGGCTAGCTGTGCTCTCCTCAGGCTTGCTGCAGCCGCGCTTCTGCCTTTTGGCCTCCAGGTGTCGCCACAGCACTGCAGACCTTTTATTTATCTAGTGCCTGTCCTGTGGACACTCTGAGTCTTCTGTTCAGTGACTTCCAGTAGGGTAGGTGACCATAGGAGGCCACCTGGCAGGAGTCCAGGCCAGCTTGCAGAACTATGAGACCCTGACTCCTAGCTCCACACGCCACCCTCACTAGGGAGATGTGAGAGCAGCTAGTCAGCCAGCACCGCGGAGGCCTCGCCTTGTCTCTGGCCTTGGTCCTGAGACCCCGTCTGCCTGAGCGGAGCCCAGGACTGGAGTAGGAGGGCGTGAACCTGGCCGGGACAAGCCATCCACGTTTGCTCCTCCAGGCCTTTGTTTCCCCAAGCATCACCCACCCTCCCACTTCAAGTCCCTGTCTCTGCTCAGTTTTCTTGCACTAAATCTGGAACTTCCCAAGGTCTAGGGTGTTGGTAGGGCTTGCTTAAGAGAGTTGATTCTAGGAGATTCTGAAATGCTTGGGCTGAGTCCTTGCTGAGGCCTGGGCCCTTCTCAGCTGGTCCCAGCTGGCAGGCTTCTGCCTGGCTCACTCCCCTCTCTCCTGACCCACAGCCCAGCACGGCCCCGCCCAAGCCCAAGCCGCCCCCGCTGACCAAGGAGACGGTGGTGTTCTGGGACATGCGCCTGTGGCACGTGGTGGGCATCTTCTCGCTCTTCGTGTTGTCCATCAGTGAGTAGCTGCTCCTGCCCTCTCCACCACACTGCAGTGGGAATCCAGCACCCCCTGCCCCCCCGCAGAGGGCTCGGAGCAGCAATTCCGGGCAGTACAAGTAGGCCAGGCGCCCGCAGGAGACCCGCCGTGGTTTCTGGCACCTCCTGATCCACACAAACTCCCCGTGGAGGGCTGACAGGCCGGTGGTGACCTGAAGTATTCTGCCGGACCCAGGGAGGTAGCCACACGGCAATTATGGTAATTACAGGGAACTCCACTGAACAGAGGACTGGGACGAGGACGTGTCATTTTTCCCTATGGCTGGCCTCCTGATGCTTTTCCTGCAGTTTGGCCAGCTTAAAGGCCACACCCAGGGGCCCCAGCAAGGCCACCCTCCACTAGAGGCTCCCCAGACGCCCAGCAGATGTGGCTCCCAGGCTTCGATCCCTGCCGTGTCAAATACCATTTTCCGGGAATGACTCACGCCTGCCTCAATTAAAAGCAGGAAACCCATTCCTCTCCTGGGGTCTGGGAGCTTCTTGATGCAAAGTCACAGCAGAAATGGGCTTGGCCTGCTCCCCTTAGCCCTCCCTTCAGAACAGGGGTCTGGAGTTGGGGAAGGGGACAGAAAAGCACAGGAAATGGAGGCCGAGTGGGGAGGCTGCCATGGCACAAAGCATCTGACAGGGGTTCCTACGAGGCAAAAGCCGAGTATAGGGGGATGCAGGCGGTAAAGGGAGAAGCAGCCCACTCCCCTGCAAAGGTGTCACAGAAGAGGGTCCCCTGCGCTGCATACCAGTGGGAGGGTGGGTGGGGTTTAGCAGGAGGGGAGGCTGAAAGGCATTCTAGGCAGAGGGGATAGTGTGAGCAGAGGCTGGAGGAAATGCAGCCTCACGCAGGGTCTCAGATGACCCCGACTGGACATTTGCTGAGTGCACCCCGGGTGGGGAGGTGACAGCTGCACTTAGTCCCAGCTGAAGCTGTCCAGGGAGGAGGTGCCCCAGAGAGCTGGGTGGCCCACAAAGAGCCCACCCAGACATGAGGGGCTCTGAGAAAGATGACATCTGATGCGCGTGTGCTTCTCCTGGCACCAGAAGTGCCTTCCCAAGAGAAAATATCCACCCTGCACACCCCGCCCCCCATTCGAGCGAGAGGCTGTGATTGTTCCCAGCTGAGGCTGAGAACCAGTCAGACATCTTAGTAGAGGCCCCACAGACAGACAGGTGTGCCTGCAGCCTCAACCAGGTGCCCACAGAGGGAAAAAGCCCACTGCAGGGCTGCGGGGTCATCTGCCCTGCACGAGCCACAGGCGCAGCCTAGGGTGCAGGTCTAGGGAGCAGCAGGGAGAGCACTGCGGGCCTCAGACACAACAAAGGCGCCTGGGGACCACGTGAGAAAATCGCAGTGTCAGACACCAAGCAGCACTTGGACGTCAACCACACAGACCATCTCTAACCCCATTTCCTAGAAGGGGAAAGGGATAGGCCCACCTTATCTTACCTTGCACTGGTTATCTTCCATCGAGACCTGGGGTCGAGACCAACCTCGGGTCTCAGGCGTGGACACAAGTTCTGGAGAAATCCAAGACCCAGCTTCTGGGATCAGGCCTGCTGTCTGCTCAGGTCCACCCCGGGACGGTCAGATCTACGGCTAGGGCCCTGGTGCAGCCCCCTCCTCCGAGTGTCTGCCTGGATGATGCTGGCTCCCTAATTCACTCCTTCAGGTGTCCAGTCCTGTTCCCAGAAGTAACGGTTTTGAGATAATCCCATTCATTCATTCACTGATTTTTTTTTTTTTTTCTTTTATTCTGAGCCTGGGTGAGAGCTAGTGGGAACACAGTATTTGTCTGAAGGGGTTCTGCCTTGGTTGCATCAAATGACCCCAGAAGGTCCTCCAGTCCAGGCTACAGAGATCTGATCCATCTTCCCCAGAATAGACCTGGCTCATCCTCTGTGGGCCTTTCTGTCCCCAGGATGCTGCCAGGAAGTTATGTCTGGTAATCCAATTTATAACAAGAACCAGTTCCACCCCCTCCCCTAGGGCTGGGGCCAAGGTGGTCAGCCTGTGGGGGCCTTAGAAAAATAAACTCAGTCCAGCCAGGTCCTGGCAGCCCTGCCCTGCCCTGCCCATCACTAGACAGGCCAGCTCCATGCCCTGGCTCAACTGGCGTGGGTGCAGCTGCTCTCAGCCGGAAAACCGCTCCTGGAATAACTCCGTCTGAGGTGAACGCCCCAGGGCAGGGTCTGTGCCCTCTCATGGGCTCCTGCCTTACCAGAGAGAGCCCAGGGATGCCCTCCAGGAGGCTGAGGAGGGCATGCAGAGCCACGTCCTCTCGTGACTGAGGCAGCTCTGGCCCAGCTCTCCGTGGCGTGGAGAGGAGGAGCTAAGTTGCACTAGAAGCGCTGCATGGCCCCAGGAAGCTATGGCTTAAGTCGCGGTGCAGCCCTCTGCCTTACCCTGCAGTGACTCAGTCTAGTCAGAAAGACCCTCAGGACCAGGACTGGTGACATAATTTAGCCAGGGGCCCTTCCAAGCACCAGGGCCTGTGCAACTCTGTGAAGTCAGCCCTGCCCAGGAGAGCCACCGTTGTCATCACAGGGTCCACAGGGGTTTTGTCAAGATGCCGAGTCCTCCTGCCAGCGTCTGGTGGGTAAGACACACGCGGGTGCATGGGGGTGGTGACCTGAAGGAAGGCGGGTGCCATTCCTGGGGTATCAGAAGCCCAGCCCCAGCCAAGCCTTCTCTGTCCTCCCTACAGTCATCACCCTATGCTGTGTCTTCAACTGTCGAGTGCCACGGACTCGGAAGGAGATTGAAGCCCGATACCTGCAGCGAAAGGCAGCCAAGATGTACACAGACAAGCTGGAGACTGTGCCGCCCCTCAATGAGCTCACAGAAATCCCAGGGGGTGAGTCGGCCCCTGGCTCCAGCCCTGCGGTGCCAGCCAGTTCCGCGGTCCCGCTGCTCTGTTCCTACCCTCCAAGCGCAGCAGGTTCAGGGAGGGGCCCCAGCCCTGCCCCTGGACACCAGAGCACAGAAGTCGGTCAGCGAGAGGCAGATAGAACGATGAGCCTGTTCTCCAGTAGGAAGAAGGAAGGAAAAGGCAGGGGCTGGGAGGTTCTGGGGTTCTTCCCCTTGGGACGGCCAGGGCCCCAGGACCTCGTCTCGCCACTATCACATGGTCTCTCTCCCCTGCCCCGCAGAGGATAAGAAGAAGAAGAAGAAGAAGGACAGTGTGGACACAGTGGCCATCAAGGTAGAGGAGGACGAGAAGAATGAGGCCAAGAAGAAGAAAGGAGAGAAATGAGGACATCCAGGAGGCTGCCGCCGGGGCTGGCACTCGAGCTCAAGCCGTGGCCAGGTCCAGGCCTGTTGGACTCAGCTCATTCGTGGGCCACAGAGGCTGTGGATCACAGAGTGGAAGCTGGGGCCCTGTGCCCACCTCCTCATGGCCCATCAGGAGCAGGAAGCCAGACTCTCGCAGGTGTCCTGACCCCATCCACATGGGTACTGTTGGCAGAGGTGGTCTGGGGCCACTGTCCCTTTGCAGATACACTGCTGTCCCCATCCCAGACCTCCCTCTGTCTCACCCTTTCTGCCATGGATGGCAGTGGGTGTGAAGGAGTAACGGGATGAGGGGTTACTTCAGTCACCCTTTCCAGCAGGAAGTGGCTGAAGTGCATGGGTCAGGGTGTGAGACCACACCCAGACTGGCCATGAGGAGGCAGAGAGGGTCACTGGGGGAAGTTGTGGCAGCGGGAGGGACTCTGCCTGGCCAGGGAGGAGCCCTGATGGTGAGGAGACTGCCTGGCGGGAGATCCAGCTCCAGGAAGTGAGCAGAGGTGGCTCCAGAAACGGAACCCCCAGCCCAGCAGACAGCAAGCTCGAGGCAGCGGGCGACCCTCATTTCACACACTGTGATGGAGCTGAGGCTGCTGCCAGGCCCCGCATGAGGCCTCGAGGCTCGGGCTCAAGGCTGGGCTGCAGGGCTGGGGCAGGAATACACAGAGCTAAGGCCAGTGGGCTAGAGGGTGCAGGAGAGAGAGCTGGGGCCTGGGCCCCTCTTGGAAATCATAGCAGATTTAAGAAGCCAAGGGGGAGAGGATCTTGGGCTGTTCTGGTGGTCCCTTCTCTGCCCAGCAGTGCTAGGTCTCAGGGCCCTTAGGAGATCACAGCAGGGGTACACTGACCCTGTGCCTGCTGACCGTAACAGCACCAGCTTCTCTGCAGCTTCCTCTTCTACGATTTCCCACTGCCGGCGCCTAAAAGAAGCATCCCTGACCGGAAGACAAAGGCCCAAACAGCACCTGGGGGAGGGCAGGTGCACAGAGGCGCTTCCAGACGGCATGGAACAGACTAAGGCTCTGAAACCTGGGCCTGAACCCTCCGGAGACACCAGAGGGTTCCCAGCCCAGGGAGCCTGCTGGCAAAGCAGCCTGTAGAGATTTGTGAATAAAGCTTAGAGCCAGGCCTAGAAAACGGCCTCCTGAGATGGCCCCTCGGGATGCGCTGTTCCCAGAGCATTTATGTGGGGAGTGATGCAGCAGTGAGCGACAGATGGCTCAGGCCAGGCTAAAGTCCCCTCCCTGACTCTTCTCTCAGCCTGAATTAGGATGAGATAGAGAGAGAAATGGGGGCCAAGGGGCCGAGGGGCAGCTGCAGCCACCGGGGCCCACCCCTGAGGCAGGCGCAGGATCCGGGAGGGACCCTGCAGCTCTCTGGGTGCTGAGTTCACAAGGCTGCGCCCATGACTTGCAATAGGCCTTTGATGGTCTGTGCCCAGAGCCGGGGACACGAGAGTCAAGCTTGACTCCTGACCTGAACCTGGATCGTCCCTGTACTGGAAGGAGAGTGATCCAGGCTGATGAGGAAGGTGCATGACGTGGGGTCTTAGGAGCAGTGAGGGACAGAAAACTGGCAAAAGGCCCCATCATGGAAGCTGAGGACTCTGCCACCAGATGGAGGAGGCAGTTGGCTGACCTCTGCCCTCAGCCCATGGGCTTCTCCTATATAGTGGTGACAAGGGCATTCTACTCATGCAGAACCTTCCTCTGTGGCCAGGCAGCAGAAGTCCAGAGGGGTAGGGGCCATTCAGGGTCACGAAGAGCAAAAGTCGCTGAAGCCTGGGGGAAGTCCAGGCCTGGGCTCCACCTGCCCTCCCCCTGACATGGGGCCACCACCATCCTTTTATGGGCAGGCCTGGCTGCTGATGGTTGGAATAATGTCTGACTCCAATGGGTGTCTGCCACAGTCTCCAGACAGGGGACAGAGATAGAGGGTCAAAGTTCTTTATGGTTCTTTGGGGCAATGAAAGGCTGTGTTCTAGCTTCTGGCCAGAAGGCAACCAAAATCAAGGAAAGCCTGACTCCTACAGTATCACAGAAAGAGCACTCACTTCCCAGCCCAGACAGCTGCGCCCTCACTCCAGCCTCAAGCTGGGTTCTGACAGCCCCAGCTTCAGCTTGGGAAGTTCCAGGTCCCTCCATCATCTGACCCTAATATCACCCCTTCATACCCCCTCCACCTTTTGTGGGAGTCACCCCAAATCTTTGGATGGGGGCAGATCCTGGAGGCTCTGCAATTTTCAGTGTAAACGGCCGGGAGTTCCCCACCCCACCCTCATCTGGTTCCCCCGAGGACTCCCGCTAGTGCAGGCCCAGGAAGGAGGTATGGAAAAGAGAAATGTTTAATCGAGCACCTCATCTCCACCCTGACTCTCAGGGCTGTGAGAGCTGCAGCCGCAGCAACCTGGGCACAGAGGCAAGGGTGGCCGACGAGGAGTCAGAGGGTGGCGAGGAGGCTGAGGGGCAGTGGGAGTGTCAGGAGCAGGGCCCTGGATGGGGCCGGCAGGGCCAGAGCCTGCCCGTGGAGCGAGTCCAAGATCCAATGTTGGTAGGAGGAGACATGTAGGTAGATGGGTGGGGCCTTGCTCTTCTGGCAGCCTGCGCCCCAACTCACCAGTCCCACCAGGTACCACGTGCCCTCCGTGGAGCAGACCAAGGGCTCTCCAGTTAGCTCCTGTGGGAAGGGTTGTGGGGAGTAAGGGTCAGGGAAGTAAGGTCAGAGACATGACCCAGCCCAGGGCCAGGCAGGATGTCCTCACACCAGGTCCCCCACAGCCCCCTAGTGCCAACGTGGGTGAAGAGTGCTCCACACCCAGGAGACCTTCCTCAAAGGGTTTCATCCTCCACCTCTTAACACCCACCCTCCATCTCCCACGGAACCCCCACTCCTCTCACCTCCAACCGACATTCCCATTCCCATCTCTTTCCTCCCAACCTCCCTGAAACACCCTCCATCCCCATCTCCCCCGGGCCTGTCCACCCCCTTCCCCTCCCCTCCCCGCCTCTACTCCTCCCCTCTCCCTCCCCAGATGGCCGCTCACGTAGCAGAACTGCTCCCTGTGGGTGTCCTCCGCACACATCATTTGAGACTGGATGATCCGAACCACAGGAGGGATTTTGGAGAATTTGTGGTAGAACTTGTCGCACTCCTTGTTGTTCAGGATGATGACTTCCTTCTCCTGAATGGTCCGGAACTGGGGCCACATGCCTGTGGGACAGAGCCCCATTGATGCACAGCCACTCACCGCTGCCCACGGCCGCCAGCCTGGCCTCGTCCTCTCCACATCCCACATCCCACCTTTTCTGCATTAGCCATACAGCCCTGTCCTCATTCTAGCTGATACCTGTCTAGGACCCTTGACACGGAGCCCCTGGAGCAGGCTGTCCCCAGTTCAGCCTTGCTGGGCCTGCTCTTGCTTCCTGCACAGCCCAGGCCACCGGGGCCCTTGACAGCCCTCCACCCCACTCGGCCTCGCGGCTTTTGCCGCTCCTTCCCTTCCGAGGGCCCGCCAAGCCTCTCGGGGCCCAGGCCTGCCTTCTCTCCAAGCAGCCCTTCCGCCACAGGTGTCTTCCCTGCTGAGCCTTCCCAGACCCCTCCGTGGAGCCCAGGCTTCTTCCTCCCCGCTCCCCAGCTCGTGTGTCCCTGTCCCTGGCCTGAGCTCCTGGGAGACAGGAGACAGATAGGCTATAGCAGGGATGACAAAGTCACCCCAGTTCCTCCCACATGGACCGAGGCCCCCGTGGGCTGTTTTGAGAGTAAGTGGATTCCTTGAGGCCACAGGGAAGGCACCTCTCTTATGGGTTGGGGACCCCCTGAAGGAAGGGGACAGTCCTAGGGTCTGCTGGATGTGCCTGAGAGAGCACACCTCCTCTCTGGGCCTCGATCTTGATGGGGATAACAAGGGGCTGAGGCTCACTGAGGGGAGGGGAAACCACGAGCGGATCCTGAGTGTCTCCCAGCCCCGGCCGCAGCCCGCCCCGAGCTGGCCATGGGCCTCCTGGGCAGTGTTTGACAACACAGAAGTCCGCTCCCCCGCCGCAGATGCTCCGCTGCGAGCTGCCAATGCCTAGGCGGGGGTGTGGGCTGTGAGGTATTAACGCTGTGCCTCTCTGCCCTCAAGGAAGTTCTGATGGCATGCCCTGGCCTGGCTCTGGGTCCCCTGAGGGCAGAGTGGTAGTGAGGTGTTCCCTCAAGGGGAAGGAGACCTCAGAGGTGAGAGCCTGGCAGGAAGGTCCCGGGAGCAGCGCGCTCCCTGGGGAAGGTGCCTGAGAAACGTCCGTCTGCGGTGGCACCCTGGCCTGCACCCAGGTCGTCTCTCACAGCACCCGCCCTGGTCTGGGGAGGCTTTGACTCACCGTCAGCCTTGGAAAGTCCCCAGCCCGTCACAGTGCAGTGGGAATGGTCCTTCACCACATAGTCCCCGCCAGGCAGGCAGACGGGCCAGACGTACTTGCTGTACGTGAGCTCCTGCCCGAGCTTGAGGAGGCCGATGTTGTTGGCCTTGCCCACCCAGGACCAGAACCGCTGGGCCCGGTACCGGCTGTGCACGATGACCTGGAGCACCGGGACGTCGGAGGCGGTCTGCGTCATCTGGTCAATCCACGGACTCCCCACCCTCACTGAGTAGATAACGTCACGCCTAGGGGAGCCGTGAGGGAGGCCGCCATCAGCTCCAGGCCCCCGCCCCGGCCCCAGCCTGGGCCCTCCTCCCCGCCGCCGCCCTCCCAGCAGATCCAGGCGGGCCATCCACCCGCTTCCAGCTCCCTGAGCCTACTCCTCACTACGGATGTGAACAGGGCCCTGCACACTCACTGTGTGGCCCAGTCCTCATGACCCTTCATTTTATGGAAGGGGAAACTGAGGCTCAGAGAAGCCCAGTGAACTGCTCAGGGCTGCACAGCAAGGAGGCAGTGGAGGGGATGCGGACCCTGTTTTCTCTGGTTCCACTCTACTCTCAGTCCATAGCATGGACTCTTTCACCCCATGCTGTGCCCTGGAGGGAGCAATTCTGCTCTTTCCAGCTCCGTGGAATGGGCCATGGCTTAGCTCTCTGGCTGCACACCCCTGGGACACCCCTTGGAGTCTCTGTGCTGGCTCTTAGGCCTGGAACACACATCACCAGTCAGCTCTCACAGCCAGTAACCTGGCCCCAAAACATCAGAACACCCATTCTTTTGTCTCCACACCAACCAGACGCCCCTGTGAGCATCTGTCTTCCTGTCTGTCTCCCCCACCAAGCTGGGAGGAATGATCCATCCCTCCTCTGCCCCAGTGCCCAGGCCAGGTCCTTGCTCAAAGAAGGGTCAGAGACAGCTGATTGACGGAAGGGAGGAACGAGGATGTGGGTGCAGAGGGGGTGAAATGAAAGAACTAGGAGCTTCGTCCCTTGGAAAGGAGGCATGAGGCCAGACCAATGGCTTCTGAGCTTCCATTTCCCATCTGCAGAATGACTGCATGGGACCGAGAGGCCAGGCAAGGGGAGCAAAGGTTGGGACACGGAAAGGACTGGACCCCCGAAGGACTTTTCAGGACTCAGCCTCCACCTGCTTGGAGCCAGGTGAGGCTGGAGCTGGGACTGCAGGGCCCTGCAATGCAGACAGCTGCCGGAACAGCTGGGCAGGGAGCGGTGACCGGGCCCCAGCAGCTCCAAATGCCTCTCCACCCACCCCACCTCCATCTTGACTCACTGGATCAGGCAGTGGGCCACAGTCAGGACCCACTGGGAGGCAATGATGGTGCCCGCACAGATGTGTGTGCCATTGGCCCGCACACTGACCATCCAGGGCCACCGCCGAGCCATGGCTTCCGGGTCCCTGAGGGTGGGGTCCTGCTCGCTGGAAAAGCCGCAGGCTGAGGAGGAAGGTGAGAGCTTGATGAGAGTTGGGTCTTTCCCTGCCCCTCCCCTCCCCAAGCCTGACCTCCCACCTCTCCAGCCACTGGCCTGCACCCCCCAGGGATGCTCCCTTCCCACCTGTCACCATGGAATGATGCTGTCCACAGGTGAACTGGGGTCTCATGCCTCAGAAGGGCCCCAGCACCACCTAGATATCTCTCTCCCTGTTCCCACAGCCCGGGCCCTGGACTATCTCCAGCCCAGTGCACCACCGGCCCTCTGCCTTCCCCAACACACCCTCAGCTCCAACCAGACCCTTCACTAACTTCTTCCCATTTCCACCTGGTTCCACTCTCTCCATGCTTCCTATGTCAGCCAAGGCAGACCTCTCTCCTCGACCTGGGAACCCCTTCCTGTGATTCAGTGAGAGGAAAGCGGATGCCCCAATAGGAAAATGGGCATAGCCCAGGGAGGAAATCCCAGCAGCAAATCACCACAGAAGCTGCTCCTCCACGTTAGTCTACAGGGAAAGGTAACAACTACTACTTTTTCCTTCTGTCTTCTTTCTTCTCTCTTCTTCTTCCCTCTTCCTCCTCCTCTGATGAGGCCTTGCTCTGTCACCCAGGCTGGATTGCAGTGGTATGATCATTGTTCACTGTAGCCTCAGACTCCCAGGAGGATCTTCCAGACTCAAAGGATCTTCCCACCTCAGCCTCCTGAGTAGCTGGGACTACAGACACACACCACCACGCCCAGATAATTTTTTTTTTTTTTTTACTTTTTTTACTTTTTGGAGAGATAGAGTCCCACTATGTTGCCCAGGCTGGTCTCAAACTCCTGACCTCCAGCGATTTTCCTGCCTCAGCCTCCAAAAGCACTGGGATTACAGGCATGAGCCACTACCCCCAGCCTGGAAAGCACAGATTTAAATCACAATGAAATTCTGCTCTGTACCACCTGCCTGGCAAAAACACAATGTCTGTGACACCAAGTGTGGGTGAGGATTGTCACCCAGAACGCCTCCCCATAGCTGGCGGGAGTGCTCACTGCTGCAGACACTCTGGAAAGCAGTTTTCTAGATTGAAGAATCACATTTCCAACATTCCAGTAGTCCCACTCCTAGTGTTTCCCAAATGGATTCGTGGATTGTAAACAAGTGGGCCGTGCCCGGCCTTTTTAAAGGATAACACAGGAAAGAAATCGCCGGCATGTAAGCACTGGGCACCATGAGTCCTGTTTGGATGACTCTCTGCAGCAGTCAAATGCTATGTGCTGAGTCCCAGAATAATAAGACTTTCTTATGCGTGTCTCAGTTAAACATGCCTGAAAGCCACTGATCAAGAGAAACATCTTCCGTGTGCGCCTTGGAGACGCCACAAGGAGGCTCACACAGCCTGGCCTGCAAGCTGTGGTGGAGATCCCGCAGGTCCCTGGCTGGGAGCCTGGGTCGGAGGCACGATGGGTCAGGACCTGGAGCACGGTGAGAAGCCAACTGCCCCACAGCCAGCTGGGGTGGGGGGAGGATGGGAACACACAGCTGGTCCCAGGCCCCTCTGACTTTCCTGCCCCTTACCTCAGCAGGACACCCAGGGCTCTGGGCCTCCACGGGACCAGGCCCCGCCCACGGGTGTTCAGTGCTCAGTGAACACCTGCAGAAGGAGGCGCTCGTCTAACCTGCCCACCCCCTGTCCCTTCTGCCCATCCCCCAGCCCCAGCCAAGGTCCTTAAGGACTCCTCCGTCACCCTCTGTGCCCCATGGAGTCTATGGTACTCACAGTGGTGTAGGTAGACTTTGCCTTCAGAAACTGGGGACTGAGTCTCCATGGTGGTCGAGGGCAGTGGCTGGGTGGTCGCGGCCTGCCGGGGAAGGCGAGGCCGGCCGGAAGGACAGGTGGCCTTGGGGGCACAGGGGATGCTCTGGTCTGAGGGCTCAGCCGTGGGCAGCGCCCCCGGGGTTTCCCCTGCGCCCCAGCAACCTGCGGAGGACGCCAAGCGCATCAGAGGCGGAAGGCGAGGGCCGCGTCTGGAAGGTGGGGAGAGATCGCGAGGGACTCACCCGAGGGCCTCAGCAGCTGCAGCAGCAGCAGCAGCAGGGCGCCGGCGCGGGAGGGGGCAGACATCCGGGGGCACTGCCCGCAGGCCAGCCTCCGGCACCAGGGACCCATCCCGCGGTAGCAGCCGGCTGCGACTGCGTCTCTCCCGAAGGCGCTCCCGGTGTCGCCCCCACTATGGCGCCCCCCGTCGGCCGCATGCCGCGGCCTCTGGTGAGCTGGATGGGGACGCTCCTAATGCCCCGCCTGCGTGGCGCCCCCCGGGGGCCACCGGCCGCGGCGCTCCTGGTGTTTGACCCGCAAGGGCGCCCCTAGCGACAGCCCTCCCTTATGCCTCGTGGGCTGGGGTCCGGCCTGGACGGCCCGGCTGACCTCCCTCCTCGGCCCCTCCTTCTCACTCCGCGGGTCCAGGCAGTCTCCAAGAGTCCCTCAACTGAACCACGGCCGAGTCTCAGTCCTCCTCACCCCTGCAGCCCATTGCCCTGGACTGGCTCATGCTGTCACCCCTCCTGCAGTGAGATGAAGACCAAACCCTAGGGGCTGGCATCCAGGATCTCCAAGTGACCTCACTTTCCCTCCAGCCCTTCCAGTGGGGCTTTGCCCAAGGAACTGAAACTAAGCAGACAGATGTATTTGAAATAATGATTTTCAAAGACTGCTTCACTGTAAGCAACTAAACCCCACCCTACCCCATTCAGATGTCCTTGACCCCCCAAAATCCATCTGCTTAGGAAAGAGAGTCCAGGCGAAGGGGGCCCTCCACAGATGATCACTGGTGCCTACCATGGGGCCACTGTGGGATAAGGAGGTCACTTTGCATGTTATAATTTGGGAAACGCATTGATGGTTCAGTGACGCAGGAGGATAATACATTTAAAAAGTTGCGTGGGGGACTCAGAGCTGTTGGAAAATTCTAGACTAATAGAAGATAAGGTGAGCTAGCATTGTGGCGTGCGCCTATCCCAGCTACTCTCAGCTACTCAGGAGGCTGAGGCAGGAGGATCACTCGAGCCCAGTAGAGTAGTTTGAGTCCAGCCTGGGCAACATAGCACCCCATCTCTAAAAGAAAATAATTTTAAGATAAGGTGAAAGTTAAATTAAGCCAGGATATTCTAACATGTGTCAGGGCCTGTGGTCTTGGGCTACACACTTGAGCTGGCCACTCCATGTTCCATTGAAAAGGCAGTAAATCACACCCTTCAGGTGCCCTGAGGGATAGGGGGGGCTGGCTGCTCTGCACCTGAGGCCCACTAGGTCTGAGGGGCCCCTCATTCCTCACACAGGGGCAGGGCTGTGTCTTCAGCCTGGCTAGCTCGGGCCAGCCTTGCCCGTGCTGCAGAGTCTAACAGAGGTTATCAAGGCAGCTCAGGAGTTCAGGGCACAGTCACCTCACACATTCATCCCCCAGGTAGGCACTCTGCCCTGTCCCCACATCACCTACCTCTACCAGAGAGGGAAGAGAAATGTTCAGGCTCTGCAGATCCTCAGAGGGATATGAGGGCTTAGGAAAGGCCCGTGGGTTCTGGAACATGGTCCATGAGTGTGTGATCTGGTCTGTGATCTGGCCATGGTGAGGTTCTTGGGAAGAGGCCAGCCTTTGCAGGAAGGCCTGAGGGAAAGTGTCTGTCACATACCCATGGGGAGGGCCATGGGGACCTGGGGATTGCTGGAGTGCTGGGATGACTAAGCCAGGACTGCAGTCCCACATTTGGAGGAAGAGGGAGGAGAGCAGTCTCCCAGGGTCACACAACAAGCACAAGACAGACATGGCGTAATGCTATCGGGGGAGGCTCAGCTTAAGAGAACAGCCAATACTTCCTGGGGGTTAGGGAGGTTGTGAAGGGCTCTGGCCGAGGTCAAGAAGAAAGACAATCACTTGAGTGGCTCCAAGTTCAAAAGCATCTTCATTGAACAACAGAAAATAACAGTGGCTCTTGGGCCCTTCCCCGGGGCCGCTCTGCCCTGCCATCCTGTGCAACCTCCGGTCTGCACTTCAAAGGGCAGAACACAGGGCAGGGAGAAGCAGCCTCTGGGAGCAGCTGTCCTTAACACCACTCACAGGAGCACAGGGAGCCCAAGGAGGCCAGCAGAAGGTAGCCAGTGAGGATAACTGGGCTCAGGAAGGCAGGGCCAGCCCTGCTGACGAACCTCAGGTCAGAAATCTGAGCCCTGATCCAGGAGTTGAAGTGGGCAGTGCTGGTGTAGATGCCCGGGAAGTGGCGCCGCCCGCAGCTAAAGCTCCAGCTTACCACTCCCACCTGAATCCAGGTCTTGTTCATTTGGCAGACGAGGGAGCTGCCAGAGTCAACCTGTAGAGAAAAGGAGGGGTGGCATAAGGATGGCAGCAGGAGGGCCTCCCCGGCCTGAGCCTGCCCCTGAGGATGAACTCTGTGCCACATCAGCTCCGCACTGGACCACGCCGGCCTCTGTCTTCCCTTTCCTGCTAACTCTGACCCTAAATCCCCGTCCCCTCCTCTGCCTTCCCCTTAAATCCTGGTGGGCCTCCAAGGCCATTGCCCTTGATCTTATTCTTTCCTGAAATCCTGCTTGCAGAGTGAGCTGTTTGAAATGCAGACCAGCTGTCCTCTTTTTGTGCAAACATAGGTTTACAGAAAAGAAGACTGTTTAAAATGACATATGTCAGCCGGGTGTGGTGGCTCACGCCTGTAATCCCAGCACTTTGGGAGGCCAAGGTGGGCGGATCACAAGGTCAGGAGATTGAGACTATCCTGGCTAACACAGTGAAACCCCATCTCTACTAAAAATACAAAAAAAAAAAAAAAAAAAAAAAAATGTTAAGCCAGGTGTGATGGCACACGCCTGTTGTTCCAGCTACTCGGGAGGCTGAGACAGGAGAATCGCTTGAATCTGGGAGGCGGAGGTTGCAGTGAGCAAAGATCGAACCATTGCACTCCAGCCTGGGTGACAGAGCTAGACTCTGTCTCAAAAAAAGGGGAAAAGAAAGGATGACATACATGAAAAGGTCATAGCCGTTATTTCTGGTGATAGAGGGTTTCTTACAATTTTTTAAAATTTTCTTTATACTCTTTTGTAATGTCGGAAAATTTTATAAATTAGAAAAACAACTCATTATATTTATTTTTAAAACACAATGCACACCAAGATTTACAGGACATAATCTAATGAAGAATGCATAAGACTCTTTTTAAAAAAAGGAATAAACAGTACCTAAAAACATACAGGAAGACCTACATCAGTGTGGAGATACGCTGTTGTTCAAAGACGAGACAACTTAAAACAATGTGAAAATGTCAGTTCTCACCGTTTGGCTTCCTGCAGCATGGAAGACAAGATCCCAACCTTATTGCTAAGGACAACTACAAATGTGAGATTTAAAAAAAATATATTATTTTAAATGCATGGGCAAACTAGCAAAAAAATAGACTCTTCAGAGACGAAAACCTAAATGAGGGCTAGAATATAGAGATGTCGGTGGAGCCCAGGCGAAAGCTTTTGCCCCCAAGGCCCTTTGTCAAACCCAGCAAAACTGAGCCTCAGTCTTCATAGCCTTGTTCATGGGTTTGGGAGATAGACAAAACCCAGGGCCTCACTCAGGAGAGGAGCCTCAGAGCAGACCTCCTGCAAAAAGTTATACCTTCAAAAAATGACCACACCCTCAGAGTGAGGGTGAACTCAAAACACTCACCCTCGTATGAACTCACAGCATGACTTCACCGTCTGGGTGGTTCAAAAAACCTGAGCCAAGGCCGGATGTGGTTTCACAGCACAAGGCCAGATGGGATATTCACAGCAGCAAAGTCATGGAATCAACCTAAATGCCCGTCAATGACAGACTGGAGAAAGAAAATGTGGTACATATACACCATGGAATACTATGCAGCCATAAAAAGAGCATGATCATGTATGTCCCTTGCAGGGACATGGATGGAGATGGAGGCCATTATCCTTAGCAAACTAACACAGGAACAGAAAACCAAACACCGCATGTTCTCACTTATAAGTGGGAGCTAAATGTTGAGAACTCATCAACACAAAGAAGGGAACAGACGATGGAGTCCACTTGATGGCGGAAGGTAGGAGGTGGGAGAGGATCAAGAAAAACAACTAATAGGTACTAGGCTTAAAACTTGGGTGATGAAATCATCAGACAGATCCCTGTACGACAGACCCCTGTAACAGAAATTTACCTGTGCAACAAACCTTCACTTGTACCCTTGTACCCGGAAATTAAAAGTAAGTACATAAATAAAATAATGCTGGGTTGGTCATACCTGCAGGCACCTGGCAACAACAAACATAGATTCTGTCTGGAGAAACCTATCTTTCAAGCCACACCTCAGAGTAGTCCTACGGTTAACGCTCTAAGGAACATGTCCTCACTCCTCAAAACACGACACAGCACACAAGGAAGTGGAGGCACCGTGAGCAAATGTCAGCCAGCAAAATAACTGGGGCAGAGTCAGAGCATTTGAGGCTTGGGGTGCAGGAATGACCACAGGGAAGCTTTCACAGGTCTGTGAGGGACTCTTTCTTCGGTTTGGTGGTGGGTACATGGATGTTGCTAATGTTATTCTTTATTCTCCACGTATGTTTTATAAATACCTTTTGTCTATTCAACATAGAGTAAAAGCATTAAAAATTAGAACAATGTCAATTCTTCAGACATTAATCTCTCAAAGCAATTCCAGTTAAAACGCTGGCAGGATTTTCTCAGGAACTTGACAACTGATTCTAAAATTGATATTGAAGGATAATAATCCTTAAATTCTAGAATGGTTTTGAGAAAGGAGAGACAAGTCGGGGGCAGATTTTACCTACCAGATAGTTACACATATTTTAAAGCTATAATCATAGAAATATAATTAAAGATAAGAAAGCTATAATTATAGAAATAGTGAAGTACTGGCATAGAAACAAAAACATAGTCCAGTGGGGGCAATGCAGAGCCAGTAACCTGATGCCTACCCGGGAGGACCCTTGACACACGTTACACAAAGCATCAAGTCTGCGGGAAATGAGGGGTCTGTAGCAGATGGCGGCGACATTGGCTCACCAGACAGAGAAGAGCGAAGTTGTATCCTACCGCAACAAAGCTTCAGAGGAATGAGAACTCTGAATGTGAAAAGTAAGAA